TGCGTTCGCCCGTCCGGGGAGGGGGGGGAGGGGGGTGCGGATACCGGGTCTCCGTCAGCAAGTCGGTGCTGGCATCCCTGGACCCATACAGCAGGCAAGTACTGCAGCAGGGGGGCTCTTTTCCAAACACACGCACACTCACTCAGCTCCACTCACACACCGTGCACACACACGCTAGATGCAGAAACCTCCTCCAGCAGCAGCGCAGGTTCTTTTGCCTCTGGTCAATGAAAGCGCACGAACCCGGCAGGTGAGTCCCTGCACTCTCCCACTCAGTGTTTTTCTCTTCTAAAAAGTCCTTATGAATATTTGGTCCGCGTTTCGGCCTCCACTTCTCTATAATCCATAAGCTCCAATGCACCAGAAAGCTGCTGCTGTCTATCTCCTCTTCCTCTCCTCTCTCTTCCTCCTCCTCCTCCGCTTCGTCTTCCTCACCTTGCTGATGAAAAAAAGCTGCTGGACTCTGGCTCTGCTGCCTCTACCACTGCAGAACTAAATGAAGAAGGAAAGAGGAAGAAGACCGGGTTTGGATCGTGGTCCTCCCGCGCTTCCCTGCTGCTCCGGCGTCTTCTTCGGCTGCACTTGAGACGACCGACGGTCGGTGAGGAGGTGCACTATCTACACCCAACCAGCAACAAAGGCTGAGCAGCGCAACATAACAGGAGTTCCGGTTGGCACTTTAAAAATAAAAGGCTTAAACATCACTTTTGGTTCGTTTAAACACCCTTTTAAACAAATCTGGTCAAGTCGCTGCACAACAGAAAAATGCCTCGAGCTACAACAATAAATCCAGAAAACTCAAGTTGCTGTTGAAGTTGAAACAAACAAAACCTAAAAAACAAAAACCTTCAGGCACTCTTGGTGGAGCAAGGAGTATGATAAATAATGAGAGAACCGTGCAAGAACTGTAACTGTACAAATGGCAAATTAAAGAACTTGATTTTTTTTGGAGGACTCTCAGTTTCACTTTCAATGTGACATTGAAATGTGATGTGAGGAGAATGTGCATGTCCTTTATGAGTAATTTTTATCATCTAACATTAAACAGCTTTTTGAATGTTTTTGATTTCCTGGTTGTTTAGTCTCTACTGCTGTTCCTGATCCTGTCCAATGCTGCGTTGCCCTGTTTTTAGGTGCCTTCAATTTGCTTATTTGTGCTGTGTAAAATGTAACATTCTGATGATGCTACTTTTCCTTGTGAGTATCGGTCCTAATGCTCTGTTGCCTTTATGTAACTTTTTATTTTAAGACTAATTGTTCTTTGGTACTACTACTTACGTACGCATGCGCCGCGCGGAGTGGCATTAATTTACAGCAGCTGTGTCCTCGTTGTGTTCTTTCCCGTGTTTCTATGAAGTTCTGTTCTTATGGTGGTCTCTGTTCTTATGGTGTTATGTTGGTTGTTCTCTATTGCTGCTGTAACACAGAAATTTCCCCACTGTGGGATCAATAAAGTACGTACCTACCTTTTCCCTTATGTGTTCTGGAATCTGATATGTGCCTCTTTTTCTCATACTATATTTTACATAGGTTATTATGTCTCACAAAGAAGTCAAGCAAAGGAAGTTAAAGCACAAAAACATTCAAATAAAAATTTACAAGGGCAACTTTTCCCCCAAATTAGGATAGCCATCCTAGTTATAAGCTGTTTGCTTAAAAATACATTAAAATATCTTTATATAAAAAAAGATAAAAAATATCCAGTTCCCTTACACGTTAACAATGTAGTATTAAAATATTCAGACACGTATGAAGACTTTCTCTTCTGTCTACAAAACAACCTGCACTGTTTTGGGCTGACCGTTTTACAGCCGTGCACATAAACTAGGCGAGTTTAGTTTGCGTTACGCTCGACTTTTATTGTGAAGGAAAGAGATACATCCGGTTTGCCTGTGCATCTTGACGCAGCTCTACTGAGAGGAGCTGTTTGCACTTACGTAGACACGTGGTGCCCACATCGTCAGTATCTGGACTGACTATGAACCATAACCGGTAATATTTGGGGGATGGCGTCACTGTTATGAGTGCGAGTCCAGCATGTAGCTGCCTTTGTCTCTCACGTATTGTCTCCTTCTGTTTATAAAAAAAAAAAACGCATCTTCAAACTTCGTCCAAAATCTGCCAGTTTAAAGCCACCTCTCCTGGCGGCAAATGCACACACCTGTTGCCTGGTTCCCGTGTAACACTGTGGTCTTCTAGTGGTCTTGTATGTATGGTCTCTGTGCAGCTACTTATTCCGAATTAAGTCATATCTTTTAGAATTTATTGTTTTACTGTGGTTGAAAAAACATTTAAACATTTACAATGAAATCCAGTTGAATTAAGTGTTGCTTAGTGTATCTGAAAATGCAGAATGCTCGGACGCACGCACGGTGACACGTATGTATCACTGGACAGCTGAAGTATCCATTGTAAGAAAAATCATATAAAATGTCAGTGTATGGCAACAAACGTCTGAAAAGCAGTTTAGTAGCTACACATCATTACATAGAGTTGTAGCATCTCCAAAGGCTTTTAAAACACACCATCCATTCTCTAGGTTTGTGGCTCATTTGCCTTTTAATCAGTCCATTTAAAACCCTAAACCCCAAACAGCAGTTTTACTCAGGGAAGAGGAAAGGCTTGTATATGCATGAGTGAAGTGCCTTTAGATGTGTGCAGTGTAATAAAATCCCATTTCTGAAGTGACAGAAATGAAAGTCAGGAGCATAAGAAGAAAATTCAACACACTGAAAACGCCATTGGTCCTAGTGGTGAGAAACAACAAATACACAACCATCACACAATACATCCACCACGGTATCGTTTGTTCAGACTGATCATAGCAAGCTATGACAGTTAACCTTACAAAGAGCCAGCTGTGTGAATGTATGTGCAAGACATCTGCATTTCTTTAAAGTGGTCAGACGCACTCAAATGAGTGAAATTCTGCAGTTGCACTAATGACCAATCCTGACAAATACTAAACTCCTAGCTGCACTGCAGTGTTGGCAGATGAGTCCAAGTGAATGGTCCTCACAACCCGCCATGTCTACTGCGCATCTTGTGACACATGGATCACAACAAAGCCCACGCATACAAAGGAAACACACACACTGCAGGATGACTGATGCCTGGCAGAGTTTGTTCATAGCCTGTTCACGACTTACTTTTGAGAAGCTCAAGCCTGCAGCATGCGGCTGCTGACATCAAGGGGCAAAATATCATCTGTACACACACAGGTGCTTCCACTCATTGAGCAAACAACAACGATGTGTGTGCATGATGTGTTTCTTATACAAAGCAAATAGATGGATGCAAGGAGCAGAAACAAAAAAGGAAAATGTGTGGGAAGGAGAAGGCTGCAGTAGAAAAACAGTATCAGTCCTTAATATTTATCTAATAAAGTAGCATGGAATTATAAAGGGAAAATTAACTTCTAGCTGCATTGATAACCTGTCTGTTCCTGGCCACAAAGCACATTTTTCTCTTGCTAGATAACAGGAAGAATAATGGCTTACAATTTACCAAGAAGATAAAGTATATTCACACTCCACAATCGAACCAGTTCAATGATGTAACACAAGTTCATGTTTTTTTAAACTGGCCAGCAACTTAACAGCTCAATTTGTAGACTGAATGCCTATATGTAGCCCAGTGGATGCCAGGCTATTGAGCAATAGTTTGACACTAAGCCTGCTGATCTATTGATCTGCTGGTGACAGCTATAAGAGACAAGCACAACATGAAATATCATATAAATACCCTCTGAGCCACAACACAAGCATAGCAATCCAAACTGGGGGGATTTTCCTGCTTTGCAAGGATTCATATTTAATGTGATCCCCTGTGACAGAAAACAAATGCTAGAAATATAAATCTTTTGGAAAACATCAAAACAAATTTGATTAATTTGATTGTTATGGACTCTGTTTTATTACCAATCAGTGAAATTATTCCACTCAGATAAGGTTTATAGAATGTGAAGTAAAAAGCTTAGACTTTGCAGATTTACCTAATTTTAAATGTACCTAATTTTCTGCATTATTACAAAGTTAAAAAGTTCATCTTAAAAATCACTTCATGAAAATGGTGTTCAGTAAAGTCCACTGTTTGTAAACCATCATTAATATCAGCCATGAAAACTGAGCTGACCCTATTTTAAAACCCTCAGGCCTAAAGCCTAATTCTCTGGCACAAAACTTCAGGAGCATCATAAATGATGCAGTACATTCAAGCTTAAAATCTAATGGGGAAGTACTCCACCTGCTGGGCACTGAGGAAAACTACAAGTAGGCGAGGCCGTGGTGGCAAATCCAGGATTTTTTCATAGTGAGATATAACTGACTTTTGAAAATGTTTTAAACTAAGAATTCACTCCAAAGCAACCAAACACTAAGCGAAAAGCATTTTAATGGGCATATAAGCATTCATAAATGAATAAATGAATGAATAAATTGAACTGAATACCCAGCCCTCGTTCTGGGTAAAAATGCACCTCAAAGTTATTCTGAGACTCAAATAAAATGTATTTGTATCAGAGGAAATTTGGCGCTGTTCAGCTGTTTCACTAAATTAATACGGGTCGCAATTTTACCGTTAAAGACTAATTTCGCTCTATTGTGTGGTTCACTGCTGCACTGCGGCGGAGGGATACGTTGAAGTATCCTTGCTATCAGACCAGGTGTATCGATATGAGACTGTCATACTTTGCACAGACAGAGGGAGTTGCATATTGTCCGTCTTTTTTTTTTAAAGCGTTGTCGCGTTCGGGGTGGAACCTTCAAGGTCTATGTGGACTGTAGGAAAAGTTACAACGGATAAGACCTATTCTCGCGCACGTAAGCAGCAATAAGGTCGTGTCGGGACTGCTTAAAGACCAACTTGAAAAATTCCTAATCTATAATTGAAATCCACCTCATTATTCAGTCCATTTGGTGATAATATGTTCAATTCATACACTATACCCAAGCCCTAAATACCCAGTATGTCCTAATGACCGGGCGAGACAACAGTGCGCCCATGCACTACCCAGTCTGGCGACAATACTGACGACGAAGAAGAAGCCGAACTTAATTTAAGTTGATTGGTTGATTAGTCAGGTATTGTGTTGACAACACGCGGCGAAACATTTCAGGTGGGCAGTCTCATACTACTAACTTATATATTGTAGAAGTCGATGTAGCAGTGATAGTGACACGTTGTAATTAAATGCTGTTGTTATCTTGTTTTAGTTGACTTGATGTTATGGAACGATGTTGTAGGTAGGAGGAGCATAGGAAAGCCCTTTATACTAGCTTCTTCTTCATCACTTAGTCTGTTGTGGTTTCTTAAAGTTACTAATAAAAAGGTTTTTTTTTACACTAGATATAAAAAGCATAATGTGACTTAAGTATCACAGTTTTAGCTCATTGACAATGTGGCATGTTTTGGATAGCCTCGATGGAGAGGACTCCCCGTGGCATCTTTTAAATGTTAGTACGAATAGAGTTTGGTGATCCTTTAAGCATAAGCAGAATCGTTTAGTCCAGCAAGGTTAAAACCAATATGGTCACCACTTCTCGGAATGTGAATTAACTTTGCATCATAATTAAATTAAACCAGTGATTTTCCAGTTCTCTCAAAGTTAAAAGTATTTCTACAAGACTCATTTCTGGTTTTCATACACAGATTCGAGAACCATGGATTTATTTTTGTATGCAAATCTGACTGAATCATCAGCCTTCCATTTTCTGCCTTGATTCACAAATATCTCTCATCTTATCCTGTCTGCAGTTTTGACAGGGGCGGTTCTGCACCTTGCCTGACCTCCACCAACAGTGCCACCTTCTCCTCACGCCCCCCTGTTCCTCCCTCCTCTCCCCTATCAGTTTGGACTCCTTTGTCCCGACTGAGTCATGTTAGATGTCAGTAAATGGCCCGTGTTCTCTTTGCTAAGCACTAAGCAACTAGCCACGGTCCAACAGGCCTGCGTCTTTGGAGCCTCCAGTAACGAAGCCATCTACATTACTCATGACAATGAGGTGAAGAGTGTGTGTGCCCCACATCAGAATATCTTGCCTCCTGAGGCTGCTCCTAAGGTGCTCAGTGGGAAGTGTACCCTGGGTTCTTCTCCCTTTTTGTTAAGTCCTCTGAATGTTTGTGTGTTATTTCCCAGCTATTTGTGGTTGGTTTGAACTGCAGTAGCTGCCTCGGTACTGGCAACACTGTGAGCACCATTGTGCCAAAGAAGCTAGACTTCCTGAAGGGGAAGAAGGTCATCAGCTTGAGTTACGGCAGCGGACCCCATGTCCTACTGGCCACTGGGGGTAGGTGATTTCTCATGCTAGTTACATCTATCTGCAGTTTACCAGTGTAGTTGTTCCTGTATGTAAACCACAGACTCTTCTGATCTTGACCCACTGTGTAATCTTTATTTTCTTGCAGATGGACAGGTGTTTGCTTGGGGGCACAATGGCTACAGTCAGCTGGGGAACAGGACCACCAACCAGGGTCTGTCCCCAGTCACCCCACACATACCAAGCAAAGTGACAGAGGTGGCTTGTGGCTCCTATCATTCCATGGCTCTCACTTGGGATGGCGAGGTAGCTGTGATTCTCATAACCTTTTTTTTGTATTATTCTGTTTGTACCTTAGTCCAGCCTGCTGATATTTTGAAGTATTTTGTTAGTTTACAGTTCTGCTTTAAAGGAAAACGTATAGATATTGGGGTGTGTGCTTATTTGTTCACCTCCAGCTCTTTGCGTGGGGTTACAATAACTGTGGCCAGATTGGTTCAGGCTCCACAACTAGCCAGCCCTTCCCCAGGAAAGTCGCCGGCTGCTTGGTGGGCAGGACTGTAGTGGGCATCACATGTGGACTGGCATCCTCCTTTGCTCTTCTCAACAATGGAGAGGTGAATATGGCATTACATGACATCTTGCTAAGAATGAAATTTGAAATCTGACTATCATACTGTAAAGAGTTGTTTTTTTTTTCTCTAGGTTCATGCCTGGGGCTACAATGGTAATGGACAACTGGGTGTTGGAAACAGTACAAACCAGCTGATGCCTTGCTGTCTTGCTGCACTCAAAGGGCTGCGTATTCATCAAGTAAGACAGCAAGCTAATTTAAAACTGTCTGGTGGTTTCACCGCAGCTCTGAAAGTATTTCTTCCCTTCCAGATTGTGTCAGGCTATGGCCACTGCCTGGCACTAACAGATGAAGGGCTGCTGTTTGCCTGGGGAGCAAACACCTATGGTCAGTTGGGAACTGGCAACAAGGGCACCTACCTCAGCCCAGTACAAATCATGGAAGGCAAGGACAGGTATGGTAGGAGGAGACAGACAGATGGCTGTGTACAGTGTGTATTTGTATGTGGAGAATAGACTCCCCCTTCCTGTTTCCTGTTCTCACGCACTCCCTCCTGGTCTGAAGTATCTGTCAGTGGACTTGTCTGGCCATAGACCAAGTTGTAGCAAAAACACAATTTTATGCATAATTGAAAATGACAAGCTCTAAAAAGGCAGGCTGTGCTATACAAAACCTGGTGTTAGTGTGGTAACATATTGACCATCTCTCATTTCCCAGGTTTGTGGAGGTCGCTGCCTGCCATTCCACAAATACTTCTGCAGCCAAGACCCAAAGTGGGCAGGTACTCGTACAGTGAATGTTGTCTGCTCATTTCATTACTTACACAGTGCAGAATGTTTTCTGTAAAAAGGCAGCTTTATTGCCATTCCCAAGTCTGTGCCTTTTTAGATACTTTATTGATCCTGAGGGAAGTTCAGGTATCCAGTAGCAATAGCAATGATGACTAAATAACAGCACCCAAAGTAAAGAAACATGTAAAAGTGTAAGACTAAAATACAAGAGGAAAAAGTATTAATATTAAAATGCAATATATATATCTCAGAACAGTACTTATCTTCCAGGTGTATGTGTGGGGTCAGTGTCGAGGCCAGTCCGTTGTCCTGCCACACCTCACAGAGTTCACCAACACAGACAACGTCTTTGCCTGCTTTGCAACACCCTCTGTCATGTGGAGGCTCATGTCTGTAGGTGAGAGTCAGCCCTATGTAGGAGGAGGACAAATATTTACAAAAGTATTGTCATTTATTTTTAAATGTCTGAAAATATTAAATGAAGAAATTGTCCTAAGTACTGAAATGCATTTATGTTCTAGAGCATGATGACTTCCTGACAGTTGCTGAGGCTCTGAGGAAAGAGTTTGACAATCCAGAAACGGCTGACGTTGCATTCAGCATTAAAGGCAGATTAATTCACGTTCACAAAGCTGTGCTGAAGATCAGGTGCCGAGAAAACAGACATAGAACTAAACCGTATTGAACTGGGGATTGATACTCGGCCTTCTATAAAGTCTTTTGTCTGGCGTAGGTGTGAGCACTTCCGATCGATGTTTCGCTCCCAATGGACAGAGGATCAGCAGATGGTGATAACCATTGACCAGTTCTCCTACCCTGTCTACAGGGCCTTCCTGCAGTTTCTCTACACGGATACTGTCAGTCTTCCCCCTGAGGATGCCATCGGTTAGCACACAACAGTTCAAATACTGCGTTCTCTCATTTGCATCTCTTCAGCTTGAGTGTTGATACGTGTGTGTGTGTGTGTGTGTTGCAGACCTGTTGGACCTGGCCACATCGTACTGTGAAAGACACCTGAAACGCCTGTGTCAGCAGATCATCAAGAGAGGAATTACTGTTGACAATGCCTTCACCCTGCTGTCTGCTGCTATACAATATAATGCAGAGGTACAATATATAGACTGTACTGTGGTTCGTTCATCTTCCCTTTACTGATTTAGCCTATTTATCTTACTGCTCTTATGCTTCAAGAGGGTTCAGGTCCCTTTTGTACATCACATTTTGTATTTCTAACCATTATCTTTTTGCAGGAACTGGAAGACTTTTGTTTTAAGTTCTGTGTCCGCCATCTTACTGAGGTAACTCGGACTAAAGCCTTCTGGCAGGCGGACGGAGGGCTGCTCAAGCAGTTAATCAGCAGGGCCAGTCGCTGTGGAGCCTTCAAGTACTGAGTAGTATTGTAACAGTTTTTAATATAAATATAAACACTGTTCTGACCAAGTGAATGTGGTTGTGCTCCATGTGTAGCGTGCCACTGCTCCAGAGATGTCAGTACTGCTCACATTCCTAAAAGTAAGCAATGTACACAGCATCAGCCACAAGATGCTGGAGTGGAATTTAGGCTGCATTAGACTCGGATCTTAAATCAGAACTTTGACCATTTCCTGTGTATCTAGACTTGAATTTTATTTATTTTATCTCAGTGTTTGCATGGGCTGACATTCTTTTATTTTCTGGAAAAGTTCATCTGTGTCTTTGTTAGCTAACTGACTTGCACTAGTACCACTGTAATGAAACACATGAGTTACACCCGCTTTCATTTCTGTCATTTTCAGTTTGCAGTCTTTGTGTTCAGGCAAAACTCCTAGATTTAACTTATTTATAAAGGTTATTGAGTTGATAAAGACAAGCTCAACACATACAGCTGATCTGATCTGAATCCTACTGGCAGTTCTCATTAGACACTTGGTTTATTTTACTCAAACTACGGCTTTCCTATTTATATTAAGTTAAAATATTTAAATACAATTGAAGAATGTTTCATTAAAGTTTACAACAGCAGCACTAAATGTCTTAGACATGTTATTTTTTTATGTGAATAAATAAAATATAATGTATATATGTTCTCATTTGATGTGCATTTTGTACCAAAGTATACAATTAAAATTTTGTACTCAAGTGTGTATTCCTTGACATTATTTTAAATCATAGTTATTGTTGGCTGCAGATTTAAGTTTAAGACTAGTTAAAATCTTGTTTCTCGTTTGTTTTCCTGTATGTATTTTTTGTTTGCTCCAAAAGTATACAATTCCCGATAAGGTATAAAAGCAGTAATTGTATGGTAATACTAACACAGTGGTGTGCTGCCACCTAGTGAGTCAAACTGATATTAAACAAATGTACTCATTGTTGCCCCGCCCACTTGTTACGTTAGTTATTGCGGAAGTAACCCGGAACTTTATCAAGCCAGCGATTGTTAGCCGGGTTATAGCATAGAGATACAAAGTAAGGTCCACTTTCCTTTGAAATAAAAGGTTAAAATGCTGAAGCAAATGTATGAATTATCCATAACGATCAAATGCAGATGCTTTTAAGTGCCAGTCCAGTTACACGTTTTGCAAAGAGATTTTCGTGGATTTTACTATAACGAAGTTTAGCGTTATTTGTTAAGTTTTGCTAGCAAGACAGCGTGAAACTATTGTTAACGGAAGCTTGACATTTTAGCGCAGTTAGGCATACTATCAAGGCAGCTTGCCTGTCTCATAAAATTAAATATTCGCTATTAAATGCAGATTTGATTGTCTTTGCAAGTAACTACGCCGAGTTGTCTGTTGGGATCTTAATTTGAAAATAGTCTTTTAGGTACCCGCTATACATTGAGTTCAAGTTGAACCCTTAGTGCTCTTGACTAATGTTAATCGAGCCGGTGATAATTTGTTATGAGCTGGCTGATTGAATGGAAGAAAGCGACCTAAGGAACCGAGCCGATCGGGGTGAATCCGTGCCAGATCGAGACACGAGAGACAGCAGCACCCAGACTGACAGCAAAGTGCAAGGTGGGTCAGAGTGAGGCAGGGGTTATGTTGTGACGCTAATGGTTTAGCTTGGTTTCTGTCACGTCACAAGAGCTGATATATGAGAAGCGTGTGAGATATTCAACTTAACCAGTTCAGCATGATATAGTAGCTAGTCTCGCACATTACAGTCTTGTGAATATGTTTAGGTTAGCAGGAGTCTGATAATCATCATGATTATCTCATAAGTTTAGCAAGTGGAAATAAAGTCATAGTTTATTCCAAACATTGTCCTATAGAAGAGTAATTCTTGTGACAGTGAGATATTATTGCAAAAGCAGCTGTCAGTTGTCATCACAAGGCAAACAAATAGGCTATCAATAAAAACCAGTACTTTCAGGTAAACCTTGTTTTTTACCCAGGTGATCTGTTAGCTCCATGCGTGTAATATATCTGAGATCAATTAGAGTATTTTAAAGGGAAAATCATAGCAGTACATTATAGATTTCATTACAATTTTCCTGGGGAATAAAAATAAAGATCAGATCCCTCCATACATGTAAAGCATTCCAAGAAACTGAGTCAACCTAAGTTGGCATGATGTAACTGTTTTGGATGTCAAATGGGTAACTGAGATGATGTAATACAGTTGTATAGGCAATGGAACATAACCTGTTTTTGCTGCTGTAGTAAGTGGAAGCAGCCTGAGGTGATTTGGGTGCATTCATTGTTTAACCCATCAGCATTGATCCCTGGTCTGGTTCACATACAGTTCTTTGTCACAAGTGTACTTACAGCTATGCACAGAGGCCAGGATGTCTCTTAACTGACCTGTATTCTGTGTTTTTGTCTCCTCCAGGTCATGGCCCCAGGTTATCAAAGGTAAACCTGTTTACCTTATTGAGCTTGTGGATGGAGCTTTTTCCTCAGGAGCAACCTGAAGAGGAGGACCACAGTCAGGTTGGTTTGTGAATACACAGAGGGATACACCACCTAAAATGAAATTAAAAACATCCAGCTTTTGTTTTGCACATTAAGCACACACAGCAGTGAGTTATAGTAGGCTCTGCACCAGCACTTACTCTCTGTGAGGTAATAGTTTCAAATCTGCTGTGTTTTAGATCCACGGGGTGGGCCTGGTGGTGGTGCAGGACAGTAAGGTGGTGGGACTCCACTGTTCAGGAGCTGAGCTCCATGCAGGACAGGCAGCCATTATCCAACATGGCACCCGCCTAGCCGGCTGTCAGCTGTACTTCTCTAGGAGACCCTGCGCTACCTGCCTCAAGATGATCATCAACGGTAAGAGGGAGAGGCAGAGAAACAAGAAAGCCTGCATACATCAGCCTGTCTAAGAACAATCTTCAAGGGCACATTGGTTATCCCCACAAAAAGAGGTGTTTTCATCTGTCCTGTAATGTTTACTGCTAATTTTCAAAAGCAAAATACCTTATTTGTTATTGCTTCACAGTAACTATATCATATCAAGGTACTTACCATAACATACCATAAGTGCAACCTATAAAGCATCAGTACGCCCTGTTAAAATCACACCTCCTCTGTATCTGCAGAGATATCAGAACATAAATGCTTTTCTGAGAATTTGTCAGACATTTTATGTCTCGGCAGGTGACCTCTTTGTACAGCTGCTTTCACTTTTGCCCTGACATAAAGATAATTTTTATTGCTATAGTGAATATTAAAACACACAGTCCAGCTGTTGCCAGTTACATTATTACAATGATTGCTGAGTTTTATTTGACATTATAAGAAATCAGCACTGGGCTGAACTTTGGAACTGTTTCTGCCTTCACTCACTAGTAGCCAGGAATAAATAGTGATTACTGCTGTTCTCCAGCTGGAGTCAGTCAGATCTCCTTCTGGCCCGGAGACCCTGAGGTCAGCATGCTGAGGTCCACCTCTACGACTCATTCAAACTCTCACTCACGCAGTCTACCTGACTGCACCATGGAGGAGGCCACACTGGACGCCATAGTAACAGAGAGGCTGAAATCCAACAGCCGTCCTCATATCTGTGTGCTGCTGCAGCCACTGGCGCCTGGCCTGGCACAGTCTGTCAGCGAAACATCCAGAGAGTGTGATTTCATGGAGAGAGTGACTGATGATGAACCAGCATTGAATGCAGAGGAGCTCTTCAACAGGTACCCCACTACACCTGCCTACCTTTGCTGCTGCAGCTTAAATAATAGAAGGGAATGTGAAATATGCTAATGCTAAAATATATATTACAGTTTTGCCACAAGCCAAATTTTGTTTTGCTTTTTCAGAGAGCGAATAAGACACCTGAAGGATTTCTCCAGACAGTTCCTGGTCGCACCGTCTCAGCAGCACCGAGAGATTTTGACCCATATGCATCTGGAGAACTTCTGTGTGGAGCCCTACTTTTCCAACCTCAGACACAACATGAGGGAGCTGGTGGAGGTTCTGGCTGCAGTGGCTGCTGGGGTGCCACAGCGACACCACGGCTTCTACAGGTTAAAAACCCTCTTTAACCATTTATTCGGGAATGGTAGTCTTCATGCACTTGTCATCCACATCTTTTATTTGTAGTTTTGTGATTGTGTTGTTTCTGTGACACAGGGAACAGTCTTCAACCCCTGAGTCATCACAGGCCAAGTCTTCACTGCCCCCTCATCATGAGGGTCTATCCCAACAAGTGGCATGTCATTTTATTATCCAAGCCAGACTGCTGGCCTATAGAACAGGTCTGCTCTCTGTTTGTCACAGTCATGGTACCCGCAGGGGATTCAGAATACCAGTCAGTATATTGTTTCAGGTCAGACTACACAAGCAGATATTAAAAGTAAAAATAATAGGAATGTTGCCAATAAATAAGAGAAGGTAGTGAGTAATGAAGTGTTTGTCAGCTGTCTGACTATTCAAGCTAGATGACATCAGTCTGATCCCAGTGCAGTTTAGATGATTACCAGGTTATTAGATTCACACTGCTCCAACAACATTGGAGCTTTGGCATTTCAGTCACAGATGGATTTCCGTGTGTGAGAATCTAGCTAGCTACTCAGGTATTTAAAAAGCTGAGGCAACAGATGCATGCCTGTAGGACATTTTTCTAAATGACAGGCTTGAAGGTCACAGTCATTATAAACTGTTCTTGTGAGATTTTGCCATTTGTCTCCAGCTTCTTACACATAAAACTCATTTCCCTTCCAGAGGACCCTAAAGTGGGTGTGGGTGCTGTTATCTGGGCTAAAGGACAGTCGGTAAGCTGACCTTTCTTCCCTTTGGTTTTATTGGACTATTTTGTCTCCAGCACATGAATTATACTGTTTTGGCCTAAGACTTCAGATAAGGATTGAGACAAACAGGACATAGCTGATATATTAGCCACATAGAGATGCAGGTTTTTGTCCCAGTAGAATTAAATACATCATTTATGGGTGATTGCATTTATACACTGATATTTTTTGTAGGTGATTCAGTGTGTCAAGCTAATAGTTTCTGGCAAATCCCACTAGTCCATGACTCCAGAGTCATTCAAGTGTCTCGGTATTATATCACGCACCACAAATTTTACTGTGTTCCATGTCTCACTGATACTGTTGTTGAAGTGTTTTGAATCTTGTCCCAGCCTGGCTTTGAAGGAACGGGGGGTATGTACCTGGTGGGCTGTGGGTACAACGCTTACCCGGTAGGCTCCAAGTACGCCGAGTACCCACAGATGGACAGAAAGCAGGAGGACAGACAGAGACGCAAATACAGATATATTATCCACGCAGAGCAGAACGCGATCACCTTCAGGTCAGAACAGGCACTTTTGGTTTAAGCCCATTTGCTCAGAGCCACTGTGTGACAAGAGTGTTCCTCCTGATGCTTTTAGGGCTCGAGACATCAAACCGGGGAAGCCCACAATGATGTTTGTAACTAAATGTCCGTGTGACGAATGTGTGCCACTGATCAGAGGAGCTGGCATCTCACACATCTACACCAATGACCAGGACAGGGACAAAGACAAGGGAGATATTTCGTACCTGAAGTTCAGCAGTTTGAAGGATGTCACGAAGTTCATAGTGAGTACATGGATGGACAGATGAAAAATAGAATCCCCCATCCTTCTGCTCTCCATTTTATGATTTGGATTTTTTTAAGGTTTGACTTTTTATCAGATATGTTCATGTACTTTGGGGAAAAACCTGCCAATGTCACTGATTTCTGTTAGTATCACTGGAGACAGAAGATGTATGTTAATTTATTCCGTTTCATACTAAAATCTTAGTCTCAGCAGCTTGTGGATGCCTTGCTGATTCTGCATTTGAATGAAGTCGATAAGAATTAAGCATGTCCTTTGACATGTTTTGTCTTCACAGTGGCAGAGGAGCCCCTCAGTTTGCTCACCGTCCTCTCCTCACATTGCCAGTAAGCTCCTTCTTGTTATCTTCAAAATTGTCTTTTTTTCTGTGCAAGAGGTCTCATGATTTTGATTCTGATTTGGGACTACTCTGACCTCGTATTTTTTGTCACAGATGGTTATGTTGGGAAGCACAGCAGGCAGACTGAGCAGGAGAGCCGGAGCAACAAGAAGCTGTGCAACAGATCCCACAACTCACCTACTGTCAGCTGAACATCAGCTATGGACGGCTGAATAAGTGGATATACCAGAAACTACAGAATCATGTTTTTAACTTGTGTGCCACAGATGTGATATTTTATAGCTGCATAAATACAGCTAGAACTGGGAGAAATTGGATATTAGTCCTCTCCTCCCTCAGGATCAAATCTGTGCCACACACAGTTTCACATTATTTGCACTTTACTGCAGGGCCATTTTTGGAAAACTGATCATTAGTATGTTAGTTTATCAGGACACAGTGTCTTCCCTGTTTCCCTCCTGCAGACTGTATAATGTGCTGCTGAGTGTTTATGTTCTACACCATGCTGAGTGATAACAGACCAGCTGTAGCCAGATCTGGCAGTTTTCAGTTGAAGAACTGAAAACTGGGCTGTTTTAAATAAATAGGAACATTAGTGGTGTGTGATTGGAGGAGAGTCAACCAAGTGCTTTAAGGCTCAAAGAAGGGAGAGCCCTCCTTAAAACACTCTATCTGAAACTTTCCTCCCACTTTGTTGTTTATAAGTCTCATTATTAATAAATCACTGGCAGCGAGTCAGAGAGAACAAGCTGAAAAGCTTCTGCACACGCTGACCTTAAAGGGAATCCTCGAAGGAGGGATGTATGGATGGAGGAATGAGGTAAAGAGATGTATGGACACAACAAGGGCTGGACGATTCTTAAATGAAAGAAAAGAGAGTAGGTAGTAAAGATACCACAAAAATATATTTTTAAATAAGTGGCAAATGTGGAGTTTAATTGGTACACGGTGTTGGATGTACTGTCTGTATGGTTACGGATGTAGCTCCCGTTGACCTGAAATGCAAAATGCACTCAGTTTGCATCTCATCTCAGGCTTGAAAGAATGAAAAACCTACTTATTATACTTGGTACAGACGAAGAAGCAGCCACACAAGGAGGTACAAGACTGATGATCCAGATGAAAGTGTGCTTCAGTATTAAGACACCTAACAGTTCAGTATTAATAACTTTACGGCAAATGACCACACACACACACCCACACAAACACAACATGCATTCCCATCTTTTTATTTGCTGTGAATGTGGTACAATAGCATCAGTGTGGAAAATAAAATATCTGCTCTTGGAGAGGACACTGGGAAGTTAATGTGGAGTTTTGTTTGTTGCTTTTTTGGCTCAAGTGACATGTCTGGTGTACAGTAAAGCTGGTTGCATGTTAAATTCTGATCATATAAATACTGTCACAGCTTATGACATTAAGATTAGCTGGTATTCTCCACTGAACAGACAAAACACTGAGAACGTTTTCCTCCATTTTTCACATTAAAACCCAAAATGGTGATTAAGAGGTTTACAGCTGTTAGTGAGCCTGTTGTCCTCCACTACCCTTATTTCGGTCTCATTTGTTGTATTTAACATGAGACAGCTATAGAAGACCATGAAATTTACTTTGAAATTGTTAAATCTGGTGCTTTAAAGGGTTTTTTTTTTTTTATTAATCTTGCCTCCATTAAACAAACTTATTTGAGCTACAGTTGAAGATTTTAAAGTAAATGCACGTCAGTTATTGATTAGGAAATCGGAGTTTTACTGAATTTGGAACCAGTGTCTTTTTTGAGAAAATGGAAACATTTCTCATTTCTAAGTCAAATATAAAATTGACACTGCTTTAAAAGAAGTGTTTTATCCTCTTGGTTTTACACATTTCATGGTCCTCTGACTACACGTGCATTTTTCAGTTACTTTTCAGTGTTGAAACCTGTCGCAGATCATCTTTGGCCTCACTCAACAAGTTGCCTGATGATTTTGTAGCTGATAATTTGTAATTCAAATGTTGAATCAGCACTACTTTGGCAACAAACTCAAACTGGCAAGAAATCAGCTGCTTTCACAGCTTAACTCAAATATAGTGAGTTCAGAGGTTCACTGCTTAATCACAACAAATATGTTCAATCCAGAGCATATTTTCACCAACATAATTAAGCTCCCCCTAAAAAGATCCTGAAAATACAAAAGAAAGATGAGCAAAAAGAAGGGAAAACACCAAACCAAAAAAGGCACCTCTGACTGCTCACCTGTTTCCTTTCTAACACCAACATCGGCTCCAAATCAGAGTGAAACACCTGCTACAGTACAGAAAGAAAAGGAGTAAAACAAACAGCCATCTTCCCAGCTACACACAGCAAAGTGCCTGGCAATGGCACTCACTTCAGGTGTACAAATCACTAACTTTACACAGTAAGAAATTAAACTATCCAAAAAAAAAAAAAATACCATCAAGCAATGTGAAAACAATAATCAGCTTAAGATTTAACCAAAAACATTTTGAATAATCATTATTATACAGAAAGTGCTATTGGCCACCAGCAAAGAGAACCAGTGATCAAAATGAATGAAGCCTACTGCAGCCCAGTGTCACAATTCAATCAAAAAGGCCCTTCATTCAATTAATTACTCCTTTTGTTGGCAGGTTTTGGTCAGCACCTCTATTCTCAGCCTTATTAGAGCTCATTTGGTTTATCAGATAACACAGAGACTAACTTGCAGGTTAAACAAACTCAGATAACTTAAGACTGCAAGATTACACTGAGAAAATCCAATTAGAACCATTATAAACCAGGGCCATTTAAACTCTTGCAGTGCCAAATTTTGTGATCTTTGACAGCTTTCATAGCCCAATGTATGTATATTGTTTAGTCTGTTCCCAACTTCAGCGAACTACATCATCATCGCTTACTTTTTGAGGAGTAGTCAAGAAGAGGAGACCTGTTCCATTTCAGCATGAATCCATGAACCTACGTCTGTTGGTACTTTTTAGTTGTAGCAAGAGAAAACTTGAGCAATCACTGGCTTTGGCCATACAAGAACAAAGATGTTTGGCTAGCAGAAGGCAAATTAGCGTTACCATTCAGCTAATGAAAGCTTCTAGGAGCAACAGAGAATGTGTTTCACACTTAAGATGTTCTCACTCTGAAGTACATTTTTGCCTGATCCTGATCAGACAGCTTTAAAGAAATCCAGAAATTCATTATTTTTCTGATTTGCAGCTACTTCATTTAAACAGCTAAAACTTATGTACACCTGCAGTTGGTGATCAAATTACAAAAATGGACCATTTCAGCTGAAGCCTTTTAACCTCTGGTTCTCCCAATGAAGCAGATCAGCTGCCTCCAACACCAGGGGTTGTGGCACTACATGCTACAGGTGAAAAAAGTCTTTAATAAAAAAAAAAAAAATTTACAAAAAAAGATCTGTGATTTGGAACCACTCTTGCACAAGTTTTTAATGAATCAACAAAGAGAAAAATGACAAATAACATCTTGAAGATTTTTTTAAATAGATAACTATTATTGTTAAGCTGTTTTATTTTCTATCTCTCTTCCTATCCATAAAAAGTAGGGTAGTGGGAATGGAGGGACGCCTCTCTAGGAGGTCGGTTTCTTCAGATCCCTGATCTGTTTGATTAGGTAGGTCTTCTCGTCATTGAACTGCTCGTCATCTGTGCGATCCTTCTGGAAGTTGCTCAGGAAGTCGATTAGTTTGGTCTGGTTCTTGAGCAGGATGTCGACGATGGGCTGCGTCTTGTTGGGGTTTGCTACAAACACCTGAGGACAGGAGCGGCCGAAAAACAAAACAAAACACGTCAACTAAGAGATTTTGTAATAAGCCAGTATGGCATTTAATCTATAGATTGAGATTTAGAGAACACACAAGGAGGGAAGGACACACTGCCTGCACAAGGTTTCTACCTTAAATACATGGAATGCCTCAAACTGGATGTTGGGACTCTTGTCTCTGAGCAGATTCATCATGAGCTTGAGATTCTCAGGCTTGCTAATGTAGCGCGTCATCACTGTGAAGTTATGTCTGTCCAGTAACAGCTCGCCCAGAAGCTGGAGGAGAGATTATTCAGAGCCATGAGACAGAGACTAAATGTTAGAGAAGTCCATTCTATTGGATGTGGTAAAGACAGAACAAATGGTGGTAAAGCTACTGAGGGGTAACTGTTCAGGGTCCAAGGTCAGCTCCCTGCCACGGTAAAGGCTTTTACAACTATCCTTTGTAAAACACCCTTGAGCCTTGAGCAGAGGAAGCCAAAAGTGAAGCTTCCTGAGTTGATAGCTCCCTCTGTTGACTCTCCATCTTCTCTGACAGGGAAACTGTGGGAGCTGGTATCATAGCAACAAACAAACAATCCCTCGCTGGATTCTCATCCGCAAAACTGCTGACCGAAACACAGCCAAAGCTGCGGTTACCCAAGGTCACTGCTGTACTCTGTCCTCTGCACAATCCAAGGTTCAGTTGTACTGACCGAGTGCTAATTTAACTCATATATGAAAAAGCTTTAATAGGGTATTTACAGTGTTTGGGCATACTTTAAGAACTCTGACTACAAATCAACATGAGCCAAGGCCAAACCTTTAGAGACTGCCTCTTGGTGACGTAGTTCTCAGAATGCAGAAGCTTCTCATAGTCTGCAAACACCTGCAACAACATGAGAAACAGCTTACTAGACATTATTGAGACTTTCTGCCTGTAATTTAACATGTCTAGTCTTCAGTGTTTTGGAAATTTTACCATTTTAAGAAATGGATGAAATGGGAGATATCATCTTCTACTTCCACCAAACTTGCAAAGTAGATATCAGGCTCTGCCAAGTGACATTATCATAACTTTCTCTGAGGTTTTCATACCGGTGTGACATTCAGATATTTACCTCAGGCCATCAATGGCTAACATCAAATGGCTCACTTTACACTGTTTGTTTTATGTCCCTTACTCTAAAGAAAACCGTAAGAGCTTTATCTCAGAACTGTGGAATAAATGGCAGAAAACACTAAACCTTTGGCCTAGTTCCTGCACAAGAGACGTTCAATTTTCATCTTGAAGAACCATTAACACAATTATTAGTTTTTTCTACATTTCATAGTATATCACAGAGTATGAAACTATCTTGTGTAGCTAACCACAGTGTTGTATTGTGGCTCAGCCCCGTTCCATCGACTCTACTGAGCTCAAAGCACCGTCTCCTGCGACATCTGTCAACATCGACCAGGCAAAAGGGTGGTTTTGTGTGGAGTTTCTTCAGGCTGGGACCCCTGGGGGCCTCACCTATGAACAAGGCCCTTCTGCCTTGGAAAGCCAACAGCACAGAGTAGAGCTTTGTATGTGGAGATGCTGTGACACTGACGGGGCTTTTCACTGATTCAGTTTTCTTAGAACTTTCAGTGGATTATTCAGCAGTTTATTTCTTGCCTCCTACATATTGAATGGCCCCTCACACAGTGTGTTCAGGGTATTTTTGGATACATGACTTGGCCATTGAGTGCTACAGTGACTGAAACCTGATCTGGTCATGTATGTATCTATATGTGTATTTCCTCATTTGGAGTCTTACCTGGTCAAACACGGTCATTTAGAGCCATGGACAGTGTTGATGTTTATGTTTCCAAATGGCACTCAGTGGCTGATGTTCTGTGACCTCTGTGGGAGGCGGGGGTGTATGTGTTGCATGAATGTGTTCAAGGGTAGAGGGGAGGTAAGTTCCACATAGTAATACTGGTTGCATTAAAGTGTGTTAGTCATCCATCATATGTTTTCAGGCTAGTCCTCTATGGTGTTCATCAGTGTGTGTGTGTGCTACTCACAGCATCGTAATTCTGTTCGAGGTATTCAGCCACAAGCACTTTGTGTCTTGTCAGGAGATCCTGTAAGGAAAATTAAATCAAGTCTATGACATAACAGAGGCTTTTCATAGGAGTTGTGTGTAGTTCTGTGCACACATGCTGTATAATGATAAAGCAGGTAAAGCACTGGAACGCAATTTTACTGTTCTACTGTGACTTGTTATAATAATATGATGGCCAAGACAAAAAATACTTTGCGTTTGTACAGCAGTCTTCAAAAACCTGCACTGGTCAAACCTGAGGTGGTAGTAATGTCATTAGAAAGAGCAGACATGCAGTGACTATAAAAACATTTTCTACAGTTTCAGGTACGACTTAACAGCCTCAGGAGGCACCTTGAAGGTGGCGAAGGCGTCAGAGGCGATGTCAAAGGTGGACATCTCCACGTAGTTGAAGAAACTGCGAAAGTTATCCGAGTGAAGAACTATCTTGGCGAGTGGCTCGTGCCGAATACACTCCCTGAGCATGATCCCACAGTTCAACGCCACCTGGGGGGTCTCGTACCTTCAAACAGAGACAGAGTCCTTGTGTTACTTCTCTGGCAGCCGTTCGACTGTGTACAGTGCATACTGTGTCTGTCTCACCCTTTCAGCAGTATGAAGAGGACCTCTTGGTGAGAACAGAAGTATTCCACAGTGGGGCTCCTCGTCCCAATCTGCCTCCTCAGGATGTTGTTAAAGATCTGACACACATCCTTCTTCCCCTACAAGCACACACACACTTAAAATTAAATACAACTACTCTCTCTGCTATGTCCTATTCTTCATCTCTTTGATTATACCCTGTCCCCCTTCATCTTTACATTTGTCTTTCCCCCCATAATTGATATAAATATCTCAGTATAGTATAGTTTAGTATATATAGGGGACTGCCCTGTGAGGAACAACCCATTCTATTCTTACCTCAAAGTCTATGACCTGCAGGTTTTCTACCAGCGCTATCAGCTGGCCACTGTTGTACAGCTCCTGGGCCAGCTGGGCCACAGTCTCAGTGTGAGGCTCCTTATCATTGCTCCCATAGAGGATCTCTTTCATGGACACCAAGCACTTGGACACCTCCTCAGATGCCTGCAGAACAGAGAGGAAGAGTGGGAGGATATGGGAGAGGAGGAGACAAACATTAATAACTAAGAGCCATCCTGGTAAAGAGGAAGATTGAGAAAGCTACTTGCTTATGAGTCTGTGTGTGCATGTCTGAGAGACTCAACTGTCTTGACAATGAAGTGTCAGGAGATGACAAGACCAGGCTGGTCCATGGTCTAATTTCACAGAGGGCTGTCACCCTGGACACCCAGGCATTTACAGACCCACACAAAAACACACTATCCATCTGTACCTTCTCTGTCTTTTTTTCCTGTTTGACCAGGATGGCCAGGTTGTCCTTCAGGCTCTTGACGATGTCTGCCGGACTCTTATGGGGTTTACCGAACAGCGGCATGATGGACACACACTCACCTTGTGGCCTGGGAAACACACAAATACACATGCAGGCCATATGAAAGGGAAATTGATGAGAAGCTGATCCAGTGAAGAACACTAAAAATATGATTTTAACTAAAAATGACAGCGGAAGATCACAAATATTTACATGTAATCCCATGTACAAGGTGATTGAGTGTGAGGAAAAAAAGCAGCAGTGGCCTTCACAGTCCAGGCCAGGGCAGGAAACTTGTGACTGCTAATCCTCATCTGGGAATGTAAAGAGGCTAGTACCATCCCATTAACCCTAACCTAACACCCGCCTGCATTCCTTTCCACCCACCTCCATAACCATTACTCATTTGAACCATTTCTCTCTCCACTTGCTCCGCTGTTGCTTTCTTTCTTCACTCAAGTCATAAACAATGTTCACACCAGTTTCCTGAAAGCCAGAACTATAAAGTTATAGAGGACGTGTCCATGAGGGGATGGAGCTGCTGAACTTCATACTGCAGAGCAACTTGCATTTGTAGTCCTGTTGCTCACTTGATCGCAAATCAGTCGCAACACTTCAAAAAGCAGTAACACAATAACAGGAGAATTAAGAACCCCAGCATTAAAAGAGCTGTGTGTCCGATTTCCCAAGACGACACTAAAACAAAGTGGTAAACTCTGAGCTCTACCCGGGATTTATTTCATCCGTTTTGTTAGAAAAAAAAATCGAATTACATCACAAAAAACCAACACACCATATCAACTTTAGACTTCATGAAGTTGTCATAAAGGGCCCGTCCACCACAGGGCACCATAACAAGATAAGAGCAGCTGCAGCTCACAGTGCAACAGTGATATAATGAAGCACACAAGCCGATCCTCTGCAGAGATATTTGAGGAGAGCACAGTGACTCAGTGCTTTCCCCAGAATGAGGGAGAAACACAGGCAGCTGCAATTAAACAACACCGTTTGCTTGAAATGTCAGAAAACACAGAACATTTCATTTGTATAATTATATAAGACGGTTCTTCAACACAGACAAAACCAAGAAAACAGCTCAGAATGAAGTCACAAATTTCCACCACACTGACTCGCAGCGTTCAACATTTCTGTCTAGATTTAAAGGGCTTTAATGATACAGTAGCACCGTCTCCCCTGGCTGAGCATCATGCTCAGGTTTTAAGTGTCCTGGTGATGGGTTTTTTCTGGCATATAGACAATGGCATTCGTCAGAGGGTAGATTGCAGTTAACAAATAAGATGCTTCACAAGCTTAAAGATAATATCAAGGAAATGTATTGCATTTCTACTGTTTCCTATTTTGTTATTAATGTTACAAGGACCCTTTGAACACACACATGGAGGTGCTTTACTGGGTTTACAATATTAAAGTCAGGGTATAAAGTTGTGCTTTTGACTCATGAATGTTTAGGAAAACAAAATCCACTAAAACTCCTACTGTTTCACTTTATGTCCTAACTAAACTTCAGTCCAGTCAATATTTGTCAAAGGATAAAACAGGCAATGAGGAAGAACAGCACAGCACATGTATTTGCACAGACCTTCCTGCTTTTTTTTTTTTTAATCTAATCATATCACAGACTGCTGTGACAGGTAATGTTTCCACACTGTGGTTCAACCTTGTTGCTGCAGCTGTAACTAAACTAAATGTATCAGATTATTACAAAGTACTTAAAGGGTCACTTTTAATCATCTAATAACACATCTAAGTCATGGAAAGCTTCAACAGTAGGTCACCACAAAGCCTCGATTTTCACTTGTAGCCAGCTTAATATTGACTACATGTAATGAAATGAAATGAATCTGGTGCCCGTTGAATTTGAACACACACACAACTAGCTGCTCTGCATGAGTATAATCTAACAGGACAATGTTTCAGCTGTAACGGAACACTGAATGAGCTTTATATACAGAATTATGTATATAAAGGGGGGAACAGAAATGACAGAGAATCAAATTCAACATGATTATAAAGAAAAATAATTCCACTCCTGTTTCATTTCTTCTATTGGCATTTGATATTTGCACCATAACTATGTACAGAGATAACATGACAGTTTGACCACTAACTTTAAAGGGCACACAATTTTTTAATGAAATATTTATTCAGAATATCTAATCACTGTTGCTGATCTACCTCCATTAAATGTATAACTGACCAGTAAAGTTATTTAGCCCAGGTTCACTACCCTGTCAGGCTCACACAGGCTCACACTTTTGTGACAATTACACACAGTGTGACACGTACAGACTGCACAGCAGCAGGAGGCTTTGATGACTCATTGATGACATTCCAGCGTAGCGACCTGTCACACCTACTGTACACGCCATTCAGCCAAGAGTAGTAGTGAATACAACTTTCATGGCTTGAGGTTTCAGGTTGGTCTGAAATGTTTAAACAATTAACTCACAAATTTAAAAACGTTTACACACAGCTGCTAGTGCATCTGAAATTAATAAGATGCCATGTCTTAAACCATTCAGTAGTTCTTCGCAAATCATTAAGTCAAGAACTTATTCAACAATGTAATGTGTAATTTATTCCTGTCTGGAGTGTAGACGCAGCCAACCATGACATACTGTAAGACACACAGCTGGAATTAGAAGCATTCAAGGAGGCGTGAGGAGGGTGTTTAACTATCTCACTCCCTCGCTGCTGATATCAGACTGTTTGTAAAAGTCTGGCCCAAAGAGAGCAGATTTTTTTAACTGAATGATACTAAAGAAAATGACAAGCACTCTGTTGACCTCTTAGAGTACAACACAGCATATCAGGGTTAACTCTCTTTCAGAACAACAGTGTATCAAGAAGTTGCAATGGTTTGAGCTTATTAAATCAAAGGTAAGACCTACAGGTTCAGTCAAAATCAAAAGCTTTTTAGGTCCAGTTTGCTTTTAAAAAAAAAAGTACATTTGCTGCTTTGTTTATGTGACAGATGCCCAGACAGAGAAATGAGAATCCAAGAGTTTGAACTTATGCTGCTGCATCACAGCCCACCTCAGGCTACAAAGGGGTGCACTCTTTGCATACAGGGGGAGAGTCCTCTTCGAGGCACCCTGAAAGGAACACTTCCTATAAGGATAAACATGAGCTCATCATGTCCATCCTCAATACTGATACCGATGTGAAGTAAGAGTAGCCATCCCCTGCTGCAGGTACACACAGACTAGGAAACAGACTATTTATCCTTCCAAATCCAAGTTCTTTCATTGCTAACCTGAGCAACTGACTGGCAGAGCTACAGTATTAACAGGCCAGACATAACCTGGGATGCCAAGTTCAAGGCAAAACAACATTTTAACATAAATGTGGCCAAATGACACAAACAGATATATGTCAAACTCCTGCTCTGGTATAAAGTATCCACACCTGTTGTATATTTTACCAGCTTAATACTACTGTACATTAATGTCTTTCAGCAGCAGGCTCATACAGACTGACAAACCTGGACTATAATGTAGATCCTGTTACTATAAACACTTGCTTATTAAAACAGTTCATAGGTTGCTGCAGTTATGAGTAGTGACAGCCAGGCCTCTACTAACCAGATATGAGAGACTACTGTGTCTGAGTCTGATTCTGGTGTGTCAAGGTAAACGGAGGCACCCAGAGGAACACAGGATGCAAAGAGGTGCAGCTTTCAAAATTAAAGCAAAGCAGGTTCAGAACATCTTCTATGACCAGCAACTCAAAAAGATGTTCAGTTTCTCAGAGAAGACAGAGAGAAAAAACATCTGCCCACAAGTAATCGGTTTTTAAAACAGACGCCAATAAAAACTGACAAGTCAGCTCAGCTCTAAATGCAATATATATCAAGTTTACTTCACTCAATTAATTTTGTCTACCAAGATAAACTTCAAATACAACCCCCCTTTTTCTCCGTTCATCAGTAAATGTTCAACATCCAACAATATTCAATTTTCAGTGATTTCATACCTAATTTGATTAGGAAATGTTTATATAAACTTCCTTAAACAATTAATCATCATCGTCGTCATCATCATAATAAATCTGACAACCAAATAATCAGGTAGATCGTTATTCTACTGCAGTTTGCAACATTGTGAACGCTTTTATTTTCAAATATGTGACCGGAAGCTGCATTGTTTTCATTGTGGCTGGCCCCACGCTGGTTGGCAAACTAACAGCAGAGGAAAAAAACAAAATATACACAGTTTATGTGCTACTGAAGAATTAACGATTCCATGAAGGACAGTATTTGAAAGAAGAGGAGCTTGTAAGGCAGGCGGCAGTAAAAAGCAGATAAGGCCGCATAAACGGTGCCAGACAATGTGATTTAACCAGGCTACACCCCTCTCGCCTTCGGCTAAACTCCCTTTTTGTTTGACAGATTTCCAGAGCTAATCACAGTTGTCTGTGATTTCAGAAACAAGTGAACATTACGGGGGTCTAATGTATCCACATAATAGACATTTAAACGCATCAAACCCGAGTGAAGTTATAAAGACTGTCAAAAGCTGTAACATCACTCGGTGAACTGGAAGCTATTACTCGACAGTATAGGCTAGAAATGATACTTACACTGGGAAGATGTTTGGTTAGGTATCTTTAAATGTCCTGACCGTTTCTGTCCCGCTTCACAGCGCAGCCGATCCTCTGAGATAAGCGCCTGTGATCACGCCAGGTCTGTCTGTTAGCAGGAAACTCCGCTAAAATGTGTTCAATGCAATTTAAAAAATGAGGAATGTGTTAAGAAGGTAGTGCACAATCCCATCTGTTCGCGTTCCAGTCTTCTGTCAAGTTAGCATAAAAAAGATTAGAAGTTTCTGGTGAAATTTTTCAGAATAAAACCACCACTAACCCTAATGTTGCTAAAATGAACGGAAATATAAAATGAAAATAAATTGTAACATTCAAACTAAATTTGTTGCTAATAGTAGAAATTCTGTTTAGGTCTAATAATTCAACCAATATCCATCTAGTTTTTTCGCTTTCAGGTCGTGACACAGAAACTTTTTCGTTATCGAGTAATTCTCGTCACTTCCGGTAGTACTTCGGCTCAAGATGGTCACCTTGACAAACCTGTACCTTTCCAGCTGCGATTTGCCTCATGTGTCGCCGTATTATTTGGCATTCAGATCCGCAGGAGTACAGTTCAGTTCGTAGCACTTAACTTTAACATATCTTGTAACACATAATTATAAATTGCCACCCGTGAGAAGAAAAGTTTTGTTAGAAAAGATACTAAACGTAGGATATTAGCCTAAACTGGAAAAAAGCCCATTGGAGGTTACATATCACGTGCTTGAAATTACATTTCCGGATCAAAATAGAAAATAAAGACTGACAATGAATGTACCTATGTGTTTCAGAAGTTAAACATCAATAAAGCAGCTACTAAAAACGGATAAGCTAACAGAAAAATATTCACAAAGTTTGTAATTATTGTGTTACATATATGGCTCACAATTGTGTAAATTGAGAGTGCTAGCAGTTTAAAATAATACATAATTTTTTTTTAAATAGTCTCAATTCCCAAAAAAGCAAAGTCCCATAAAGGAAACAATCTCAGACTTTATTAAATCTGCTTTTTATTTTACATACAATTCAGAAATACATATTTACAAATATAGACAGATATGTCTCTTTATAATATCTTTATCAACACAATACTCAGTAAAGACAGTGGTTGCTGCAATGTGCTGCATAAAATAAACTGAAAAATATAACCATTCTCATCCCTCCAGCCTCCAAGTCAAAGGTACAAACCATTACAATAACAATAAGCTTTTGTGTGTGATCATGATCAATCACTGACAAGTTTAGTGCCCCTGTCAGCTTTGATAAGAGTGCAGAAAATAAACTCTCACAATACACAGCAGTGCCTGGAAAAAATACTCCCCTTGCTCAGGCCTTTGACATTTGTGACTTTAAACTGGGGCTATGAAGAACATGCCACAGAGAGTGGTGATATACAGAGACAAAGAGACCCACATAAACCACGTTCCCCTTCACAATATACATGCCCTCGAGGAAAACAATGTGAGGTATAGAAGATACATCTGTACAAGTATAACATACATAGATCAACATATAACGCCAGCCACAGCTTACTCTCTGGTTTAGCTCACTGTTTGACACCAAAAAGCCTACACACTAGTTTCTTCCGTTCACAGGAAGGCCTCTTTAGATTTGAGGGAAAAAAGATTTAAATCATGACAAATTAATTGTGAGCACTGATGATAGTCAGGGCTGAATTTACCAAACCAAAAGTAGTGTTAAATGTGGCTTTGCTGAGCCAGTGGACAAATACAGCTCATTATTAGCAATAAATGGGTGCGGCTGGTTTCAGTGCAAGCACATGCTGCACTTTATCTGTCAGACATTCAACATTGACGGGCAAAGGAAGAGATTATTTTATAGTGCACCTTGTAAATACTTTGATCTGGAGATATTTAAAAAAAATGTTTACCTATAGAAATAGAGAAAATGTGTCATTTAGTGTTCATGTCTGCGTAAAGACGTGTGTGCTATCAGTCTGCATCAACATCCTCTTTTCCAGGGCTTTGTGTACTTACGATCCCTGCTGTGTAATTTACACCAAACGTCACTCTTTTTTTACCCTCTTATTCCACCGTGACAGTTCCTCAGCTACATTATGTGGCAAGTAAACAGACATTGCTTGTGGGCTGATGGTGCAAACATGTTGAGCAGGTCTTGTAGAGAAGTGCCTACTGTCACATGCCTGAGTGGGGCTTGGAGCACAGGGAGAGGACGGAGTCTGCTTTTGTTGCAGCAGTGCAGAACAAAAATACAGTGGGTACGGAAAGTATTCAGACCCCCTTAAATTTTTCACTCTTTGTTATATTGCAGCCATATGCTAAAATCATTTAAGTTCATTTTTTTCCTCATTAATGTACACACAGCACCCCATATTGACAGAAAAACACTGAATTTTTGACATTTTTGCAGATTTATTAAAAAAGAAAAACTGAAATATCACATGGTCATAAGTATTCAGACCCTTTGCTCAGTATTTAGTAGAAGCACCCTTTTGAGCTAATACAGCCATGAGTCTTTTTGGGAATGATGCAACAAGTTTTTCACACCTGCATTTGGGGATCCTCTGCCATTCCTCCTTGCAGATCCTCTCCAGTTCTGTCAGGTTGGATGGTAAACGTGGGTGGACAGCCATTTTCAGGTCTCTCCAGAGATGCTCAATTGGGTTTAAGTCAGGGCTCTGGCGGGGCCATTCAAGAACAGTCACGGAGTTGTTGTGAAGCCACTCCTTCGTTATTTTAGCTGTGTGCTTAGGGTCATTGTCTTGTTGGAAGGTGAACCTTCAGCCCAGTCTGAGGTCCTGAGCACTCTGGAGAAGGTGTTCGTCCAGGATATCCCTGTACTTGGCCGCATTCATCCTTCCCTCGATTGCAACCAGTCGTCCGGTCCCTGCAGCTGAAAAACACCCCCATAGCATGATGCTGCCACCACCATGCTTCACTGTTGGGACCGTATTGGACAGGTGATGAGCAGTGCCTGGTTTTCTCCACACATACCGCTTAGAATTAAGGCCAAAAAGTTCTATCTTGATCTCATCAGACCAGAGAATCTTATTTCTCACCATCTTGGAGTCCTTCAGGTGTTTTTTAGCAAACTCCAGGCGGGCTTTCAGGTGTCTTGCACTGAGGAGAGGCTTCCGTCGGGCCACTCTGCCATAAAGCCCCGACTGGTGGAGGGCTGCAGTGATAGTTGACTTTCTACAACTTTCTCCCATCTCCCGACTGCATCTCTGGAGCTCAGCCACAGTCATCTTTGGGTTCTTCTGTACCTCTCTCACCAAGGCTCTTCTCCCCCGATAGCTCAGTTTGGCCAGACGGCCAGCTCTAGGAAGGGTTCTGGTCGTCCCAAACGTCTTCCATTTAAGGATTATGGAGGCCACTGTGCTCTTAGGAACCTTAAGTGCAGCAGAAATTTTTTTTGTAACCTTGGCCAGATCTGTGCCTTGCCACAATTCTGTCTCTGAGCTCTTCAGGCAGTTCCTTTGACCTCATGATTCTCATTTGCTCTGACATGCACTGTGAGCTGTAGGGTCTTATATAGACAGGTGTGTGGCTTTCCTAATCACGTCCAATCAGTATAATCAAACACAGCTGGACTCAAATGAAGGTGTAGAACCATCTCAGGGATGATCAGAAGAAATGGACAGCACCTAAGTTAAATATATGAGTGTCACAGCAAAGGGTCTGAATACTTATGACCATGTGATATTTCAGTTTTTCTTTTTTAATAAATCTGCAAAAATGTCAAACATTCTGTGTTTTTCTGTCAATATGGGGTGCTGTGTGTACATTAATGAGGAAAAAAATGAACTTAAATGATTTTAGCATATGGCTGCAATATAACAAAGAGTGAAAAATTTAAGGGGGTCTGAATACTTTCCGTACCCACTGTATATGATAAGAGTGGTCATGATACCAAAACAGTATATATGCACAGATTTTGACATTTATGAGCATGTGTTTCTGTTTGAGTCCTGGGTAAAAAGCTAATTTTCAATAAAGTTAATAAGAAATTAACCAAGCAGGTGAGGGCATAAGACTTCCTGCCCCACTATAATCTCTATAGTGTACACAAATCTGTAATTTAACTATCCCTAAATGGGAGATGGAGTGTAAATCTGTCTCTGCTGAAATCTGTGGTTTTCTGTGCACATTGCCCATGAACATGTATGAATGCACACACATAAAGACACAAGCAGGTATGCAGCCGCACCTGCCTGTCCACATAACCTCTTGGGCTTCCTGAGAGGTAAATCCAGAGCAGGTCAGAGGCAAGTTGGACAATTTATCTTAAAAACAATTTAAAAATATAAATAAATAAATAAAAAAACTGAGAAGTTCAAAGGTTGTTTCAAGCTACTGCAGTTTGTGCTTGTAGCTGTAGAATGTGACCACTAGGTTGTGCTGTTGCTCACTTAGTGATACATGTGACTGTGTTTCTTAATTTGTAGTTAATAGCATAAAACCAGGTTTAAGTGAAGCTCATATTGGGATGAACACAGCATTCTTGAATGGGGAAAAACAATAAACAAAGTGCTTTGACACCACTGGCCAGCCACACACTACACCCTCCATGTGTCCAACAAACAAACAGGTTACAACACTTACAGTAATGTGCTCTGAACATCCGACCTGTTCAGTGATGCTCCAAGATGCTCTGAAAGCTTTTTTTTTTCTTGCAGCCAGCTGCCAGTTTTCACAGTGTCTGAGTAATGTCTGGCACTAAAGTATCTGATAGTATCTGTGGATGTTTCACACAAGAATCTGCCACTGTGCTGTGATGTTGTGAACTTGAAGGGGTTCAACAACATTGTGTAAGATGCTGACAGCTCATATTTAGTGTAGGTATTTTTTTTAAATGTGTCCACTTTAATGCTACATAATCTCAGATTATTAGAAGACATTTAGTTTTTTTCTGTGGTGATTTTTTCCTGTGATATTTCAAGTACAGTGTGAAAATACCTAGACTTAAAATAATTTCAAGTGAAAATATAACACTGCAGAGTGGAAATCTTTCTGTTGAGTGGTGGGTGTACTCAACAACAATACTGGCAGATACAATGATAGTTTTGGTTTTTGGTTGGAGTGAGCAAACTGTGAGGTGGGTGTCTGTGTGATCAAAAGAACAATGAGATTGTGTCAGCTTTAGGGTTTGTAATTCCACCTGGACAAGGTGGATGGATGAAGCCAACACTGTTCTTAGGTCAGGGTTTGATATCAGAAAAGCTGGTGTAGGTCTCACTGCAGCTGGAAGAAGTGCTGAGATTCCCAGAGACACTGCCATCTGCAGGAGAAAAACACAAACCACATCAGTCTATCAGAATAAACTGACTCACTGCAAATATACATCTTGTTCTCTTCAAAAGTGATGGTTAAAGATGCTGTAATCCAGTTAGTGAATGACAATACAAATATTCTACCACATTTCTGAGGCTACATGAACAGTATATAATACAACTATGAGAAAAGAGACCTGAGCTGCTGAGCGACTGGGATGACTTGGCCTCTGAGATGAGGCTGAGGAGATTTGCTGCTGCCACCCAGCCCTCCTTACTGCTGCGTAGGTTCTTCACAAACCTGCCAAGGATTAAACAGAAACTTTAGATTTTTACTTAATTGACTAGCACACATAATTATCACACATGATTCAAAACATACTTACCACTGACCCTCCTCTCCTTCTCTGATTAGCTGGACCGTGTCTCCACTCTTAACAAACAGCTCCTGAGGACCTGCCTTCTCACAGTCCACTACCACCGTATATTTTCCTGGAGCCTGAAGGGGTCAAAGGTCAATAACGTCAGTCAGTGTTAGGTTAAAAGATATTTATTTTCCTCAGCTCTCTCTAACATATTAAACTAACATTTAATGCTATTCAACCCTGTCAAACATGTAACCAACTATTTTTTAGGAGCAGGCTTCACTATAGCAAAGTATGGAAAAACCACAGTGGTGGGAAATCTGATGCTCTGGGTTCAGGCTCACCAGCTTCTTCACTCCCTCATCCTCGGGGTCAGAGTTCATGGGGTCCTCGCTGCTGGAGTACCCGTCATTTTCGTCTGAGGCATCTACTGATAAAGATGTCTTGTTCAAGCCTGCAGGTGGGTGTTGGTGGTGAGGAGAAGAGGGAGGGGACAGAAGGGGACAAGTGGAAAAAAGTGGTAAGTGATCTGAGGAATGACAGAAGTGAATCTGTATCATTCACACTCCATGTGGCAATCAAATCCATAAGGCAAAACACAGTGTAGATCTCTATACAAAGTGACTGTGCATCTCACAATGAATATTTAGGTTATTCATGGCTGGCAAATCAGTGAGACGAGAGATTTGATGTCAAAATTAAAGGACAGAAACCGTCCACGGAGGAGTACTGTATGTGAATATGAATTTTGCCAGGATCAAACAGAATGCCACTTGGAATGAGAGTCACAGTCACACACAAATATCTCATGATGAGCACAAAACCATGAAATCTCTTCTGCCACAAGATGACAAATTATTCCATCTACACATATTCAAACAGCGCCAAACACTTCCAGACTCCCAGAGAAGATCAATAGAGACAAATCCCAGTAATTCACAAAAAAAAAAACATGATCTGAGAAAACACCTGCTCTCTGCTCTGGCTGCCAGTGCAGAAAGATAAACTGCAGAAATTGTGTTCATTTTTCTAAACCTCATTATTCTCTATGTCACACAGCAACTAAACCCAAAACACCCAATAGCAGAAAAGTGAAAACAAAAACCAGAACACCAAAAACACAGTCATTTAGTCAAGAGTTGAGACTTAAAATCTTCTGTTTCCAAATAAAAACAGTAGGAATGTTTTTCAAGCTGTCACTGATTATCAGCTAAACATCCCACTCCAATGCGAAATTAGACAATAAGCCTCAATACAAGGCTAAATGACTTGGAAAGCGGACATTTTGCAGCATTTTACTTCTGGTAAAAATCTGTCATGACCTCCACAAACCACAGCAAGAGCCCACAGTGAGTGATTCTCTATACCTCGCCGCTTGCTCTTTAACGCATTAGAAGCACTCATCCATTTGAATCTGCTCAGAGTGACATAGGGCACTGGCTCTAGAGACAGAGAAACAGCCAGCCAATCAGTGACAGCTAGCCAGTCATGTAGATGACTGGTTATTCAGAAAAGGGATGTTTTTAAGTCCTGGACACCAGGAGAAAAACTAAATCACTGCCATTAAACATACACAAGAACTGCTCACTCTGACAAGAAGACAAAATGAGTGCAGACATTGTGAAATGTTCCCTAAATAAAGTGGACCGATCATCTCCAAAAACTGCAGGTGCAAGACTTATAATTCAGTAAAGATGATGATGACGACAACCTGTGGATGAAGGTAAAAAATGTTGTGTTCAGATAAACTAATAAATATTACAGAGCATCTGCAAGTTCAAGAAGACTTTCAGAGATACTTGATTGGTCTAAATGTGGACTGGCAACTCGGTTTAGGAGATCTGATTTGTAGACTTCCAGGACCTGCAGATAGTCTGTCTCTCACACACTCTCATAAGTTAATGGTAGATTAATGTCTGCTACAGCATCACATCCAGTTCCATACTTCTATATGAGACACAGATGAAATCTGCATAATGAAGACACACAAAAACTTGAGCATATTCTACTAATATGGAATGGGGGAATGAATAATGGTCCTCTATAGTTACAAGTCCACTATAATGGGACAGAAATATACCTTTGAACCCAAACGGCGTAGGGTCACTCTTGACCAAGTGGTGTTTGGAGCCGTGTTCGGGGCTCAGGGCTGAGCCTGGCCACACAGGCACAAACAAGTGAAGAGGAGGAAGAAGAGGAAGGAGAAAGTGATTTGACAATAAAATTCAATATCTACTCCATTGTTCTGCTAGTGCATAACTAATGCAAGGAAATGTGGACCTCCAGTGATCTTCATCAAAAAATACTATCTACAAATATAAGTTTCCTACTGGTTATTGTGAAGTGTAAAATATTTATGCTGGCCAGTGATGGGTCATCACATTAATGTGGCTGTAGCTGCTGTAATATTCAGCCTTAAATATAACTGAAAGTAATAGGAGAGCATTAGCCGGTGCACATACATACATATGCAGTCCTAGGAACTACAGCACATGAATACAGGCAATGTTAGACTGTGACCACCAGGAGGCAGAGTGGCTCCAACATAAAAACGGGATAATCAGTTCACCTCATAGTGAAAGCTAATGATACTGCATCAGGCTCTAAATCAGGTTAGACTGAGGCCAATAATTTGTCTTTAGTTAGAAACATTAATTCATAAAATTACAGATGCATTATTTCATTTTTTTTTAACTAAACCAACTGAACTGGTCTGAGCATTGTGCTGTACTGTTTTAAAAACCTCCTCAGGTTTGCAAATTTTACCTTTTGGACTCTTGAGATTGCTGAAGCCCTGCAAAGTAAAACGTTTTTTTGCCACAGAGGATCTGTCAGTGGTTGGACTGGTCACTGGTTCATCTGGAAGCAGTGGTTTCAAATGGGAAGCAGGGGTAGAAGAAAAGAGAGCAGGGCAGTGATGGAAAGGGATGTGTGGCCCAAAAAGACAAATTAAGAGGTAGAGAGATAGAAAGAGGAATCATGAAGATGAAGGTCATGAAGACAGGAGTTCAAATTAGCAGCTTTCAGTAGGAGCAGAAATAAAACCTGACTGAGATATTTTATGTCTGTGTGTGAGGGCAGTGTTTATCAAACATCCACCTTTGTGTTTCGGTGAGGAGGAGGAGGAGTTGACATCGGAGGTTGGGCTTAGTTCTGCCTTTCTTTCATCTTGCTTCTTCTGGCTCTTTTGACCATTGCTCCAGAAAGGACTAGGAAAGACAAGAAGAAGAAAACATGACAGTGAATAAAACCACACATGCATTTTAGCCCATGTCTGGATGTGTAGACACCAACCTGAGGGAGATGGAGATGTTGCTGGTGGGACTTAGGGTAATGGAGTCTGAGTTCTTCTGCTGACAGGCATCTAAAACATACAACAGTTCACTATAGTTACAAAGAGCTAGTGTGTGCAAAAGACAGAGAAGAAGAAAAGCAAGCAAGCCCATGTGCGTCTGGGTGTTTCCTGGCACCTCTGCAGGCTTTGAGCTGTTCAGTCAGAACTTTGCGGATCTCATTCACCCATGTTGTTTTAATCTCTGGTGTCGGAGCCTGGACGAGACAAAAAGCAGTGATAGGGCTTCTTTTTAAATGAAAGAACAGCCACTGGTCACTTCTCCATCAGTATACTGGTCTATTAGGCCCCACACTGCTCATTTTGTGGTCAAAGTGACCTTACCTGGACAATGAAAACTTCTTCTCTGGAGTTACACCAAATCTCAAACTTCTTGTTGTCACCCTTAGCGTTCTCTGTAATGCCCACTGCACTCATCTGAGAGGCAATAACAGGAGAGAGCTTAAACAAGCTTGTACACAGTCAGCTCTGATCTTTCACTACATCGTGTACAAAAATGTACTTTTCAAATTTGACCGACGTGAGCTTACACTGAGTGAGTGTTTGAAGCTGTACGATGGGGCTTTCTCGTAGCCCTCCCCATTCTCCTCTCTCCTCTTACAGAAGAGTAGGGCTTTCTCATGCAGGAACAGATGCCTCTGCATTGGCTTAAACCGGGCCAGATCCTTGACCTTGGCGTGACCTTTCTTATGCTCCGTCCACACGCTGAAGGAGCCCTGCATCAGCAGACGACCCAACTCTGACAGGTTACCCTGAGAAAGACAGACAGGAATGCAAACATCAGAATTAATTCCCACTCATTACTTTGTTATTTGACAAGACAGCTGGAGGCTGGTCTCTCTTAAAAAGCAATTGATTCCTGACTACATCAACACAGTAAATATGATGGTAGAATTTTACACAGGTAACTTTCAAAAACCAAGATCCACATTTGATGGGACATGTATAAAAACAAAAAAATGTACAAACTATCCTTTTGCAGATACTTGAAAAACTACATGAACTTTATGGGTGCGTTTGCAAAATTGGACAGAAATAAAAACATATACAGAGGTGGGGAAGCATCTGATTTATGGACATCTACATGTTTTCATCAAAAATAATCTGCAGCATATTTTTCAGAACAAGTGTATTTTTTAGAACTGTAATTTCTCTGACCTCGTATCCCGTGATGGCGATGAGATGCATGGAGTCGTTGACAGCTTTGAGAATCCCCAGAATGGAGGAGAGAGCTTCCTGTAGGTCATTGCAGCCGTTGCAACCTTTACTGTATTTCAACATCTCCTGCAAACACAAAGTGAAAAATAAAATGAATGGAGAACATAGCATGCTCTCCCTCTGTAACACAAACATGAATGGAGCTCACCTTAAGCAACAGCTGGTACTTGGTGATTCTCTGGACAGGTTTCAGGAGGTAGGAGTCCAAACCAAGTTTATGTTCCAGCTTCTTCTGGCACTCCTGGGTCAAAGCAGAACCCAACAAAGAATCTTAGAGGTAACTGTTTATTGCAGTTAAAGGTATGAGGTGAAAGACGAAAGGCGAACCTGGAAGAAGGCACAGTCGGAGCACTGTCTCCACAAGCTCTCAGAGCGAGGTTTATTCTGGCAGTAGGCCTCGTAGATCTGCAGGTCCTTCATCTACACAGAGAACAGAACAATCATTGTTGCAACATGTTGCTAATGTCACAAATGAAACTTTTTAAGATTTCAGTTTGGCTCTGTATCTGCAGTAAATCCAGACCTGAATCTTGGAAGCAACATCTGGAGAAAGTGCTTACCCGTTCTAAAAAGCAGCGGCCCACCAGCTCTGGATAGTCAGTGTATGCTTCCAGCTCCTTTAGAAATGTCCTAGAGACAAACACAACACAAATAACGAGCACGATATCAGAGTGAACAGCACTTGAAAGTTAAACAATTCATGGCTATAAAGAAGAACACCTCTTATGGAATTGGTAGATTTCAGACATGTTCCCAAACAGGATGTCTTTCTTGCCAAGCAGAGTGCTGGGGATGAGGTGAGCCATGGCAGGGTTGTCCATCTCTGCTGCATAACCCTGAAGGTTAACGTTGTACACGGTGCATCAGCAAAGCAGCAAAACCTTTAATTTCCTAGCCTTGAATGATAGGATGTTTCGAATTATTGATCCACCTGATTGCCTGGGACTATGACTCACCTCCAGCACACACAGTAGCTCCTCCACATACGCTCGCTCTGTCTCCAGCAGTTCATTCATCACATGACTGGAACACACACAAACATACAGTTGAACAGAATTACCACAAATGCTATTATATGGGAAGCTTAACTTTATAATTCAACAGTGAGACCTCCTACACAAATATCTGGATGACATTTGATTAAAATTTAAAGTGATACGCTGCCCATTAACTGCTCTCTTATCTATGACATTTGACCCCTTACCGTCGAAGTATTGCCAAGTTTTCTTCTTCTTCTGACAGAGAAGCATGTCTGGTGCTGAAGCTATGTGTTGGTGAAGGCACCTGAAAACACACACATTTATTTATGTACTGCATATTCAGTATGACCACACATAATCATCCATTTATAGCCTTAATAATAAAAGTAAAGTGAATGTACCTTTTTGCACATGAGACTATCTACAGAGTATCTCCTTTCTTTCCCATGTGCATCTGAATAACAGAGAGAAAACAGTGTGTTGATCCAATTTTACCTGTGATCAGTGAGAACAGTTCTGATTTGCCGTAAATGTTAGTACCGCTAAAACCACTCTCTATAAATCATCTTATCTAGGGATCCAGGCAGGCTTACTGGGAGAGGAGAGAGGAGTCTTCACTTCAGGTCTAGGTGCTACTGGCTGCACTGGTCTGGTCTGTTTGGCAGCTAGTTTCTTCAGGCTGACGCGTCTCTTCTCAAACATCTCCTGGACAGAGCTTTGCTTCTGGAAAACGCTCTCCACCTGGTCCTGATGGGGACCAAACAACCGGAGATTTTGTAGTAGATTAAATAAATTTTGATCACACATGTTAATTAAATGGTGAGAAAAGCATATATTTAATCTGCTAAGTCGATTTCCTACAGACCCTGAGCTGAGGAGTGAGCACTGCTTCATACTGGCAGTAGATGTCGCTGCGGTCAACGAGGGTGTGCAGCCGTGCTGTGTCCAGGTATCGCTCCAGCTCTTGCAGAGCCGCTTCAGCTCCATCCTGAGACTGACAGCGGTCTACTGGCTGGCTGGCCAACAGAAAGATGCCCTCCTCACACCACCGTGATGCCTGGGAGAAGGTTTGATGGAAGCAATAAACTGATATGTTAAAATAAAGTTTCTTTCAGACACAAACATACCACCCTCCTACCTTCTCCAGAGCATGGTGGAGCTCCATCGCCCTGAGGAGGAGGCCCTTCTTGCTCCTCAAAGTAGAGCTAATCCCATCACACACTCCTCTCAGCTCGATGCACTTCGGCCTGATGGAGTCTTCAGCGTAGTGGGAGTTTTCTATCAGCCTGTCACCTTCAGAGGCCAGAGAGAGGGCACGGTCTAGTACCTCCTATTGAAACACATTGTTAACTTCAGAATATATTTTCAAATAAAATTACATAAAGAATACTGTCTTGTCTTGTGTTTTCAAAACCTCATGAGCTAAGTGTGGGTTTGTCTTACACAGGCCTTGTCCTCATGGCCACTGAGCTCTCGTAGGATGTGCTCAGCATGGGCGGGGCTTAGGCTGACCTCAGAGAAAACTGACAAGCGCTCTAATGTCACATCAAGCTGGGAACACACCTACAAAACACACACATTGCTGATGTTATCTGGCTCAGTTGTAGATGCAGATGAATAACTGTCCAAAACTACATTTCCCACGATTTGACCCAACTCACTTCACGGAAGTGCTGTTCAAAGTGACGGAGCTGCAAACACTGTTCTAGCTTAGTGTGGTGACGCTCCCAGAAATCATCAAATGCTGCTTCTGTTTCGTCCAGCTGGCCCAGGAGTCTGAGAGGGAGGAGGAGAAAGAAGGGGTGAAATGATAAGAGGAGAGAACGGGAGATTTGTTTGCATTCAGGGGCCTATTCTTTATGTATTCATGCATCCATTCAACCCTTCATCTACCTCTGTACTGTGGCTAAGTTCTCCAGTTCATCATGGGTCATGGTGTATTCAGGGTCTGTCTGTAGAGGCTCATTGATACAGTCAAGAAGATGGCCCCCTTGAGACAACGCCACCTGGAGTTCCTCCTGGAAATGGAAAAAATTATGTTCTTAAACACTACACAACATGTGGCAACAGAAAACAGACAAAATTTAAACCTCAGGTCTGAACCTGTCACCAAACATCTGTGACAAAAAGAAGGAAAACACAAAGGAACATAAGGTGGAAAAGACAGAAAGAAAATCTCTGACCTTCATTTTAACTTTCTTCAGTGTGTGTGTGTGAAGCAGGCTGGTAGTGGCCTCAGCATCATTAGGTAATTCTGTCTCTGCAAGCTCAGTACCAAACGCCTGCAGGGTCTGAGCCGTGGTCTTCACCATGAGGGCAAAGGCCTCGATTGCCTGCGGAGGGATTTGTACACACTGTGAATCCAGGTGAAGAGAAGAAGGTTCATGTTGATAGCTGACAGTTATGGCTGACTTTTGTGCCTCACCAGGAGGGAAATATATGTATGGTGTGCATGTGTGTGTGCATACAGTACGGTGTGAGATCCAGCTGTCATGGCAGTATTCCCGAGTGCCTCCAAACTCTGTTGTCAGTTGTCCTGGGTCAATATAGGCATGGAGCTCAGTCACCGAACTCAGCATCAGAACCTGGTTCATTGTATTAATACATTATATGAGGTAGTATTAAATGAGCAATAGAACAAAAGAAATAAATAAACATACAAAACAATCAATATAACCTTTTTTATGAAGTAAAAATGTGTTTCTAGTTTCAGATCTACATTGAACTAAATATGCCTTCAAATGCATGCAGTGTACAAGTAATACAGGTACCTTCATTTTGAACTCATCCTTGCTGAGCTTGAACAGGAAGTCCGACAGAGTCCTCTGGAAGAAAGTATCGGGACGCAACACCAGAACCAAATGTAAGTTCCCTGGAAATGAACCCTGAGAGAGAAAAGGGGGGTTAGAAAAGTCTTTAGGGATGTGCTTTAGGAGTAATTGGCTTTGCCATCAAGCCTTTTTAATGTACCTACTTTCTTCATTTCTACATACTAATTTCTCTGCAAACTTTCAATAAAAACACAACCTTTATCGAGCCTTGAAACTATCAAATAGCCTTGGTATTTCTAAATCTTATGTCCCTGTTCTTTGGATTCAGTACAACAGAGAGGTCCAAGGCCAGGCGGTATGTCGAAACCGGGGTTACATTGTAATTTATTGCAATATATTACTGTGAGGTTGTAGAAAGTCATATGTTGACCACTTGCTTAATGCTGATGTCACTGTCTGCTGCTTTAAAGGACCTATGCACAACAAAACAGCTAGAAAACACAAAAATATGACACACAGGTCACTTTATTTATGCTGGAACGTCACACTAAGTGTTGCCTTGTAAAGTGCTGGTGTAGTAGTGCAGCTTCTGTGTATGAAGCTGGACACGGCCTGTCTGTGAACCAGCCATGAAGCTGTTGTTGTAGGATATAATATCAACTAAATCACCTACATCTGTGTGATTTTTTTTTTTTTTTGTCTTGTAACTTCAGGAGCAACCACAGCGTTTTGCTTCTCCACCTCTGCACTAACAGGTTAAATTGCCTTCACACAGATAACAGCCCAGGAGGCCTCTTAGCTGAAAGGCTGTATTAGTTATGGCTTCCTCTAAAACCCTGAGTGGATTGCTCCACCCTGTTAGACATCATAAATCAATATAGGGTGACATGTGCACACAGAGACACACACATACACACAGCTCCAAGATGTGTGACAAGCTCATGAAATCTTTAGCGGTGCCATAACTAAAGTCAGCTTGAAGCTGGTAGAAAATGAGGGCAGGAAGATTTTTTGTGCTTTGCTTAGCTCATGTTTTCTTTAAACTGCTTTCTTGTGGCTCACTGTTCAGTCAAACATCATGACATTTTTCCTGTAGTGTCGACTACTGTATGTCAGCTGTATGTGAGGAAACAACTTGGTCTCTACAAAAAAGGCTCCACCCACGGATGTCATCCGTCATCACAATCCAGATATTCATCACAATCACACTGAACATCCCATAAAAAATACACTACCAAATGCTGTTATCCAATAACACACATGGCTCTAATTTAGTCTACAAGCAGACATGCACTCACACATACTTCACAGTTATGAAATGCCCACACGGTGCTGCCATGGAAACTATTCTCCTTGGACAATGCATGGAGGGAGGGAAAGTGAGAATTCTGATACAAAGAGAGATGGTGAGGGGTACAAATTAAGAGTGACAGAGAGTAGCTGGTGTCTGTGTGTGAGAAGCAGTCTTCTAAAATTGTCGATGGTGCTGCAGCTCCATGCTGCTCCTCCAGTCATTTATTTTTGGCTCACACACACAACATGCACATACACTCTGCCTGCTGTGAGGCTGAAAGGCAGCCAGGTTGGAACGTTCATTCAGCATGCTTCCTTTCTAATTTCCAACCAAACTGACTGTATATTTTAATAACATGCACTTTTATAATACTTGTTGGGTGAATTATGATTGTGGAGTTCTTTTTATTGCTTCTTTATTTTTTTCATATAGAATAATCTGCAATATGCTGTAATTATAGCACCAAGTGTAAGTGCGTGTTAATTACAGGAATGCAAAGATTATATACTTTTCCCAATTGTCACCAATTAAACACTAGACTAAACACAATGTATGTGAAATTGGAATCAATTTCAATAAACCTAAATAGGCCTTGGTTTCATTTAGAGCTCTGCATTAACATGATAATACACGTGCTGCCCAGTGCATCCCCCTGACAGATGATTATAGACATGCTAATGTGCATACACATCCCAGGATACACATTATAGTGATGCACACACATACACATTTCTCACAGAAAAAACGCACATTAATAAATGATAAGGATTAGAATATCATCTTCTACTAATTAATATTCTTTTGCTGAGGAAAACCACTCCAGTCATGTCCTCTAATGATATCCACATTATTCTCCTGGGGACTGGATAGCCACCATATTAAATCAGCTCCCCTCCACATGCCCAAACCCCCTTTGTTTGCACCGCTGCTTTTGGACATGGAAAGAGTCCCAGTTATGACAAAGAGATTCACTTTGAATCTTGTCAGTGGCTGCTGCACTACACCTGCCTGTTAGCTGGTGTTTGGCAGTTAAAATCATTTGTTGAAACAAATGCAAGCCTCTTGTTTGCACCAGCTGATCGGGACATCTGTAGTCGGCAGCAGTCTTCCTCTACAGCACGCTCAAATGGCTGCATGTTTATTAGCCTAAATGACAACAATGGGCTGCACCAGAGATGAAGGTGTCCCATCAGTGTTTGACTGCAAATTGTGTGGATTCACCCAGTTTACTCTAATTAAATGCTACTATTTAGATGATGGATCTAGAGAAAGATTGTGGAGTATGACAAGAAGTTAAAGACACGTTTTCACTAATGAGCAAGGGAACAAACTCTCAGGTTTGCTACTCAGTGACATAAAGATGAGATTGTGAGCACAAAGAGAAGGACATTGACACTACAAACATGGGTAGTGAAGTAGCCAGGGCAGAAAACTGTTGCTTTAAATCCTGGGACACTGATTGAGGCTCATAAAGGTCATGGATTGCTAGAATGCAATAACAAAGTTATTCAGATAAACATATGATCTAAAGAGGCTTAATGTAGCAGTGAAGAACAATATTTAGGCTTGTACTTGAAATGTACATACTGTATTTTATGGTCACTAGAGGTCAAAGTTCATCCTCTTTTTTTAAACAGCACAACACTGTAAATGAGGCTAAACACTGCAGGTCAGCACCATCTCTGGGCTGTGAGATAACAAACCTGGCAGCATGAGAGCATCTGTGCATCTGCTGTACACCAGTCACTGGCTCACTGCCCAATTCGTTATCTTTTTCAAAATTTTAGACGAGGAACTAAGCCAGCATCCCACCTTGAATGGCCTTGATATGCTGCGCATCTCATGGGAGCCTTCAGACTGTGTGTCATTGGCTGGTGGACAAAGCAGGCGTGGACCTCTGCACCACAAGGAACTGAACTGAGCGGACTGAGAACACGTGACACACTCCTCTCACCACCTGCTCTTCATGCCTTCAGGTTAAGTTATAATGCTGTCTGCTTCTGTCATGGACTTCAACCATTTTGCCTTTATGTATTCTGCTCTCATTGCATCAAACATGAAAAGAATTTAAAGCTCAAACTGCGGTGAGTCATTGTGAAATTCTGACTGAATAAGGAGCTGGTTTTGCTTAGTCTAAACTTAGGAAGTTTTCTTCAGCCGAATCTGCTGGTTTAGGTTGAGAGACAGCATCTTTGGATCTCCTATACTGATTTTTTTTTTTTTTGTGCACCAGGACTTCCCTAAAACATGCCAGATATAGCATTTTGGCATCAATAAATGAAATAGGGAGTTGCAAAATGGTCATCCCCAACAGTGAAAACACACCACTGTCTTCTTAGTTTCCAGTTATCACGCTCTGATATAATCTTTCAACAACAGACTGCAATTAAATGAAACTGAAACTGTAAACAGCTAGAAATAGAAATACACGACACGTGCAGTGAGGATGACTGCGGGGGGGGAGTAGCAACACAAAAGCAGAACAGGGGAGTGAAATGGAGGGAAGAGGAGGTGAGACAGAGGTAATCAGCAGGACAGATGAAGAAAGGAGGGGAGGTCCTGCTGAGCTCCTTCTACCGTGCTGATACTTTACACTATACATATGTCTCTACATCATGGGGTTTCCATAGGGTTCATTTTTAATCTTTATTTGGCTTTATTTTTGTCAGAAAGAACAAAGACAAAGCATACATGTAGTTGTGGTATCAGCAACTGTGGGTAAAACTTTAAAGCCACATTAAAGAAGAATTATGAGGAATAGTTTGACATTTTGGGAAATGCAGATATTTGCTTTCTTGCTGACAGCTGGATGAGAATATCAATACCACTCTCATACAGTATATTTACAGTTCATGTGATTAACAATTAATTCATATCTTCTCAGCCATCAGTCACTGATGAAAACAAAATAAAATCAGATAAAAAGCCTTTGGTTTAGAGTTGGGTGAAGATTTTCTAATCAATATTAATTTCTACTCTTATCACAATAATCATAGTTTACTTGAAAAAATACACCGGCTTCCATTTATATTGGTGTGTTTTTGCTCATGCTTTTACACTGAACTGAAGGAAAGAGACAAGTGACTGATCCACTGTTAACAGTAAAACTCACAAAGACAGACACTGGGCCAGTGGACTGGCATAAGATAATAGATCTGGAATGGCTCATTATGACTGGTGGGGAAGTCTCCGGGGTGCGCAGATGATTGTGTGTACAAATTAAACTGACTTGGTGGAGTTCAGTTAGTAAAGCAAGGAGTCTCATAAAGACCTACTGCCACAGTGGGAACATTGTCATAGAAATACCATCAGGCTTGATGATAATCAGTGTCCAATTAGCATAAATTAGCATATCTCTGCACATGCTAAACAGCAGGATGAGCACCTTAACAACAGATCTACTTCCTCTGCATATTGGTAGAGCTGGTTAATCATGATTCACCAGAAGGAAGATGACACAAAAATCAAGGAAGCCAAAAATGTCTCAAAAAAATTAATAATGCAACAGAAAACCACCACGACACAGTATCATTCTAGAGAAATAAATCATTAGGAGCACTCTTTTTAAATATGGAACCTTCACTATTCAACTTGTTCTGTGAATATGGCATCTTATTTGTCTCCTGATGATTTCCTTGAATCACTTTTCCATCTCCAACCCCCCCCCCACCAATGTATTATATTAGGAAGGAGTGAGTCGCACACTCTCCAAGAAGTAGGCCAGTAGGCTAATGGCACACAAATACAGAAAACTATTACAGAATGAGACTAATGGCTCACACACAGTTTGGACTTTCTATTTCTGCTCCAACAGGATGGTTCGCGCACACACACACACACACACATACATGTTGTGAGACTCCCAAAACCCACTCAAGCATAATTTTTAACTCTGATCCTGTTTCTAATTACCAGTACAGGCCCCTCCCATACACAGCAACTAAATACATAAACTAGCTAAACTAAAGCAGACACCCCTTGTACAGTTTGTACATTAGCAAACACACAAAAGACAAAAACACCCATTGCTCTAAGTGGTGACAAACCAAATTACACATATACAAAGAGCTGACACCAGCAACTATAGCCACAGGTCCATGTTCAAACAAGCAGTGACAAGTGTAGAGTAACATACACACACCAAAACAGCTATTTGTCATCACCAAAGGTACTTCATCAGCAAAAGGATATACACAAACAAACAGAACACACTGGAGCTTACTGCGATGCGGAGCAGGGTGGCCCTGACGGCAGCCCATCGGTCCAGTCGTCTGTCGATAACCAGGATGAAACCCAGACCTGAGGCTGCGACACTGCAGGAGGGAAGCATACACCGTTATCACTTTCTATGTGTGTGTTTCCCAGCTATAATGCAGCTTGTTAAGGCCCATACAACAGGTCAGACTACTGTATACTGTTTTTAGACTGAGGAAGTTCCAGGGTGTCCCCTAGCAGGATGACAATCAAGGAATAAATTCATGTTCCAGTACTTTTATTTATCAGGGATTATCCTGACCATGTAAGAATAACTTATAGTCTTCATGCAAGGCAAATATGCACGTCTCTATTTTTCCCAGCTTGTTAATAAAAATGCATCATGTTCAGTCCACCACATGAGCGTATTACATGATGACCTATCAGTTTAAACACGTGCATTAACTACCTTCTGGTTGGATTATCACTAGTAACTCACATATAGCAACATATAGAAAAATGTTGTGTGGTCATCTGGGGATTTTAAACCAGTGCTAGGAAAAGTTGAAACCTTGCTGATTGTGTGTCTGTAGTGTAATCATGTCATCAGTGATGATTATGAGATACTCTTGTGATTACCATGGCAACCTTGGCTCTGCAATAATGTGTGTGCTGTGTGCGACTGCATGCAGAAACCTTGCCACTCATTCCACAGGCAGTGCCATATGTAGCAGCCTCATTAGGCTAATATGTGTGTGTGTGTGTGTGTGTGAATGCAATTTCTATCAAAGGTCCTGCTGGACAAACTGACATGCATCCTGACGCCTTAACACACTAACAATGAGCACAAATATTAAACACAGGCAGACAGACTCAGGGCCAGAATACTGCTGAGGTGGTCCATCTGGTGTGTTATTATGCAGTTTTCTTCATCATGCACATGCACACACATACAGAATAAGAAAATGAACACACTACACTACCCTGTGAGCGCTGCGACAGCAAATCCTCAGTCCATCTCTATTAGATAAAATGTTTAAACCACATGAATGAAGCCGGTTAACTGGAAAGGTCTTTGTTATTTCAGGACAAAACAGGACAAAAATTCATTATTATCACCCAATAATAATCCAGTCTTCCTCAATTTTTCCTCATTCAGTTGTTGTCAGAGCTCAGCTCCTGCATCCATAATCATGTGTTTGCAGTTCGCAGATACAGAGAGGTAACCGTTCACATCCTTACAGAGCATCTCCCTCCTTCCTTTTCCTTCTCCTTCAGCTTTTCCACCACCCGTTTCCCACCCTCAGCCAATTAAAACTCAGACCTGCATCTTGCTGTCTGCATACAGCCAATCAGAGCAGAGAGACCATCTGACAGGCAGCTCAGTGAAAATAGCTATTGGGGAGAAAGAGAGGGGACTCAGAGTGGGGATGGGATATGAAAGGTGATAAGCACAGGGAGGCCGCCATGACACACACAAGTACAGTACATATGTATATGTAGATATACAGCTGAACACATCCTTTCTCCTCCCCTTAATTATGTGCATGTATGTGAGAACATGTGTGTGTGTGTGATGGGAGTGCAGAGCTCAGCAATAAAGGAAATGCCAAAGAAAGGGAGAAGAGGTGAGAGGCAGGAACAAGGAGAATAAAGGAGGAGAATTTTATGACTTATGGATAATGATTTAATTTGAATTGGCACAACAAACAGCAGCATGTTTACCCTTGAGTCACGCCTCTGTCAGGTACAGGTTAGTATTATTTTTTAAAATGTTTTCTCTGTCTTATTCTTTATTATAACCCTGTTTTCAGCAATCTTTTATCCTCTATAGGATCTACATCTTTATATCTTTTATAGCCCCTTCCTTGGTGCAGGCCTTTGGTATTGTGCTGACATCTGTTGGTTCCACATAGTATTACACTTCACTGCTCATTGTTAGACCAGATGAAACTGCTGGCGGGAAGGCTGGCGGGTGTGTGTGTGTGTGTGTGTGTGTGTGTGTGTGTGTGTGTGTGTGTGGTGCTAACCTGGGAATGCTGGTGAGATAGCTGAGGACATTTTGTAACTCCTCTTCTTCCAGCTCGCTGAAGGCTGGGAATTCTGGGAAGACAATGATGGGACTGCCGTTCATCCCACGGCCCCCTGCAGAAAGCGAGGTCAGGCAATAGATCACAGAAAGATCAGGCTTGTTAGTGCTTTTTTTTTATTGACAAATTTTAGTTATAGGTGCTTAAAACTCTTTCAAACCTCCAAATTGCAAATTTGGATTTGGGTGCAAATCCTTAATAAAGAGAATCAATTATTTTAATATTTAATTTAATTATGTACATTTCCGACAGAGGAGGATGTACAAAAAGGCAGAGTAAAAAAAAAAATTGAAAAGGGCCTTTGCCTTCTTTTTCATCTGTTGTCAAGTTGCAAAGCTGTTTATCATGGTGTTGAATTATTCACATGGCGTCACTGGGCAGGCATTATCGTCATGGTTACACTACACAGGGCCCTAAGGGCGCACTTCTGTGTGCACATACTGTATTAGTTTCAAGTTGTTTTTTGTAGTTTGTGACCTATCTTGTCACCAGTAACTGACAAACAAAGAAACCAGCCTGGCAGGACGGCGAACTGCTTCTGGAGTTCAGAGTCAATTTCTGTTGCAAAGAAAGGACAACGCTCCGTCTGCAGGATGTCATCTGGAGAAGAAGAGAGAGAGAGAGAAGGAAGATTTATTAGATGATAATCTCTCAACACACAAAACACAACCCTACTTCTTAATATCACCCTGTCAAACTGCTGGACATCCTCAGCTCTCTGCAATAAAAGACCTGACTGCATTTCTGAACCCAGAGCTGAGTGGTTTGAACTAAGACGGGTTAATTTGATTTTGATAAAGACGAAGATGGCCACATTCTGATATAGAGCCAGTGATCAGTAATGTGTCTGTTTAGACAATAGCTGACTTTTTAATTACTAATACTAATCCCTTGTATGTATGGGCACTGCTTAAGAAAGGAGGTGGATGTAAATAAAGACAAAATCAGAAGAGGGGAGAAATCACAGCAGAGATGTGACATTTGGATTTCCTCTTCTCTCTGGTCAAGTTGGATTTCAGTAATCTCATTTAGCCCATTGGGAGAAAGGCAGAGAAAAAGCATTCTCCCCCACCCATTTGGTCAGCATATGTGACCTCTGTATGCCAAACACCACCAAGAGGACTGTTGTTTATGCTCATGTGTGCATTTGTGAAAGAAAACTGAGAATTTTTATGTCTCTGTTGTCTCAGTGTGTGTGTGATGGAGCATCACTGTGAAGTGTATGTGTGCATATAGACAAAGGCTGGCAGTGGGACTGGTGTAAGTGAAGTGTGGCAAGGTTTCCAGGCAGTGTGGTGTGACTGGCAGTGAGAGGCATTAATTACCATCTAAGTGCAAACCAAACAAACTGTTCACATTTTAGAAAGAGTCACCATCCCATATCATCACATGACAGCAGATCTTCTGACTGATCTTCTCATAAAGAAGTGTTTTAATGTCACTGAGTGAGTGTGTGTGATGTCCACAGGTAGATACATGGACCACACTAAACACTTGCAGGTGATCATACAACATAAATACAGAGGGATAAATAAAGAGGGATTCTGATGTCTGATGGTCATTTCTTTTGATTAATCTGTTGTTTTCCTCAGCAGCTCCATATGATGAAGAAACCCAACATATTAAAGGCTTAGAACCTCAGTAATAGCACACCTCAGCATGCCATTGGCTAGACAGTAACTCATACCATATACTGTTCTGTAGGTCTCATGTGAACTTCATAATGAGCACGGGTTAGAATGTTTGGAGCACATGTGGCCTTTTTCATAATGACAAAATGCATGTAGCTGTGGTCAGGAAAGAATCTAATACACTGGAGGTGCACAACTGTAGACTAGTGTAATGATGCCAGTAAGTGGCTGGGCACTGCTCCACACATCAGGGGATTGTGTTAAGATGTCAGAAAAGTGACTCAGGAAGCATTCAGCTACTGTGAGCACGCACACTCATGCACACAAGAACACAGTGGATCAGATATCACACTGACTGAAAGCAAGCATTATTATTATCTATTAAGGAATATGGAGAGAAATGCGGTTGGAAAAAAGGCAAAAGGAAAGAGGAGAGATGAAGGGAAGTAGTCAAGACATTTCTATAAAAGAAAACCAGCCTCTTTTCCCCCAAAAAACATGAACTCTGCTATAATTATCTAACAGTACAGAGCGAGAAGAAATGTGGATAGCTCTCTTCACAGTGCATTTGAGTGAAGCACTGAATGTTGAAAAGATCAAATGTACTTTCCAAGGAGATAACAAGAACACAGCTTCTGTTTTAAGAACTATTCTTGTTGTGAGGGTATGTGTTCAGTGTGTCGTACGCTCACTGAAACACTGTGTCAGGCAGTAAGCTCCAGGTAAACTCTGGAACAGAGCCAGACATGTGCAGCTCTTCCAGTGTGTCTGTGTGTATGATCTCCAGAGTTCAATCCAATAGTCGTGACCTAAAGCAGCTGTAACTGGTCCTGACAAATTACCTGTGGGCCAAATTAACACACGCTAAACTAAAGCTTTACCAAAGCTATTACTGAAAATGTCTCAAACTAAAACCAACCTTTGAACTAAATCTTAAAGCTTCTGCTCTCATCTGTTTTACTGCTTTGCTGCAGCAGTGGTTCATTTCACAGTATATCCAGTAGATAGAAGCGTTAACATCTGATTTTCCAAACTGTTGATGTTCCTGTTCATCTGCTTTTGTTCCCAACATTTCCATTGCCAATGAACTTTCCCAAGCAAAGTACATGTAGCTGTGGGTTCAGCTGTGATAGCAGCAGTGTGTGACAGTGTGAGCAAAATTGTTTTTGTTGTTTTTTTTTACAGCCAGGAAAATGACTCAGTATATTACATATAATATAATAAATATTTTCTGTCTTAGCTGATTTTTTGCTTTCATTGTAAATATTGCTATCATGCAACCTTCTAATAAATAAAGACAAAAATGTGCCCAAAAATATCTTTCAAAAAATTAATGCTGTATTTGTGGGAAATATATAAAAATGATGGGAAAAACAACAATTTTGTCAACCTGAAACTGCACCATGCACATGGCTTGTGCACTACAGGGGCGAATGGCTCAGACATTCAGGCGTCAGTTGCTTTTCACTGCTGAAACTTAAACTCCCTGCTTTGTCCTGAGCCGAATGAATGAAATTAAACTATAGCGGCTAGGCTGCAAGTGAACCCCTTTACCCACCAAAACAACACACACACACTCTCACACTAGAAGTGGGACAATGTGGGCAACTGTGATTATGTGGGGTCTAACAAGAATGTCCCCCACCTCCTTCTACCCTTCCCTTCCCCCAGGGCCCGATACCCCTTTCCCAATTCATTCATCCTTTTTTCCAGGGGCTTATCTGAGGAGCAAAAATAATAAATAACTCAATCTTCACATTAAAACAAATTTCCCATCAGTTCAGCGGGATTCTCTAGATTCCTATTAAGGAGTTAAATTAACCTTCAAGTAAGTCCTAAAATAATTCATATATGTGATGACGTACATGCGTCTTATTGGGATTTAAAACCTCATGAGATGAATTCCATAACACTCTGTATGCAGGGAACTAAACCAAGTTATTTCACACTCCTGAGTGTCTCCAAATGAATGCCTGTTTGCATGTGTGCAAGAGACTAAGCTCTGGATTTAGAGAGGTGAAACGAGGAGGAGGTGGTGGAGGAGAAGTGGAATGAGGCGGAGAGGTGCTCGTGTCTCAGTAGGATGACATAGGACAGGGTTTCTTTACACATGCTTACATATTTAATGTGTTGGCCTGGTGCTAGCTGATAGTGTGAGCATGTTTTCTCTGTGGCAGGAGTTCAATAGCAGTTGCACACTTCACAACTGTAAAATATACACAACATTAGATACCCACAATATAAGTGGCTTATTTGTTTTCCATCTGCTCCTTTCCAAGTTTGATTCATAATAATTTCAGATGTGGGTAAGCATCACAGTTACAGACAGGTAACTTTAATAAAACAATATAAAGCAGTAGTATTAAGTAGTATTAGCCTTCGATCAGCACTACTCAAAGTTAGATGGATCCTGTCATCTGTAATTTGTGAAACAAGACACTTTATTTACATCACTACAGGTAGAGGTAAAGCAGAGGCAACAGCCCAGTTAAGTCTGATTACAGTCCATTACAAATACTCAAAGCCGGAACAAGCAATGGACACCCAGCTAACACTGTCTATTACTGTTTCCCTCACACACAGACAGACATACACAACTCCTACTCCTTTGTCCTGCTGACATGTTCCTACAGGTTTTTATCGCTGAACACATTGTCAGTTAAAAGTTGACAGCCAGCTGTTCACTGCTGGTCCATGGCTGCCAGCATCAGAGGTTGTTCAAAGTTCAGGGAGCTGGAGAACTGCCTGATGTTCACTCAGACATAGATGAACACACACAGGACTGTGGTTGAGGACTGTGCAAACAAAAACAAGTGTGACAGGGTTGCCTCAGAGGTTCACTGGCACACAGAAATGTATCCCAGTATTGCAGGCAGGCCATGATGCGAATGCAGTAATAACCTGGAGGGTGTCCTGTGAGCTCAGATATTGTTCATGACATCAAAACAAAAAATAAACATAGAGGGACAAATTTGGCAAAATATTCACCTGCAACACCTGCAACACCTGTCCAGCACTCAGGCGTCACTGAGAGCTGTAGCTCTAAACAGACAGGCCTGACTTGGAATGTAGACTTGAAGGCACTAGGACGGAGAAACAAATGACATGTTTCTTTGGTGAAGGGTTAAAAGTTGTTGTGTTGGTATCAAATGCCACTGGAGAGATGGTCAGTTGTGCCCATGTGGGTGTGTGTGTGTTTGTTTGTGGAGAAGCAAGGATTTGTTGGCTGCTCTGAAGCTGTGTGTGTATGTGCACTTGTGTGAAGGAATCCGTGCTCTATTATCTAACATTATGTTATAGCCAAGGTTTACCAAATCCCCATCTGCCACTGCTGTGGAGCCTTTAAAACACACAGTCACACACACAGAACAGGGGCTGGATGACACACTAACACCAAGCCAAAAAAACAACTGGGTCACAGGGCCAACAGTAGCCTGGAAAGTGTGTCTGACTGTGTGTGTGATCATACTGCCCATCCCCACCCAAAAGATGAATCCGTGTGATCAGTAAAAGCAACAAACATTATGATATTACTGATGGTCATGTGAATTCCAGCAGTGACTGTTTGGATCCTTGTAAAGCTGCAGATGTAGGTGTGCAGTCAGGGGACACCCCGGGTCATTGAGGAGAGTCCTGACTGACAGCACTTTCATTTACTAGAAATCCAGATTGAGGATGTATATGTCAATTCTAAGTATAGGTATTCAGATATCCATAGAAAATGACTTACAATCAGCCATTTTCAGTATCTATATACCAGTTTTCTTGGTTGAGTCCTATTAACTATTACTGAAGGTCAGAGTAATGTACTTTGCCTCCATCCTCAACAATGGCTTCAGGCTTCTCTCTGTCACTGGCAGTAAGCCCTGGTCTACTGAATAGATGGTGGCATCATCATCTCAGCACAACAACACACTACTGTCCCCCTGTCTGCAGTCTGTACTGCCGTCACAACACACACAGACATGC